ACTGGTCGGGCGGGGGGGGGGGGGTTATGCCCCGCTATTTGGTCGCCGCTTTTGTGGCACAACTTTTGACCCATGAGTTCGCTTGGCGGTCTTGGGCACGGGGCTAAATTGCTTGGACCCAGCACCTGCTACATTGACACACGGCCGCCGGTGCTGTCATACCTTGAGACTACTGTTTTTGCCATGTTATGGGGGAAGTTTTGAAGCATGTGCCGCCTAGGGACGGTCACTCAAGTTTTCTTTTTTCTTCCTGGAAATTTGCGGGGTGGCCTAATGGGCAGGCTGGGTCGGGGAGGACATGGAGCTTTGGTCCCTCTCTTTGATTTGAGCGAGAGACAAATTGCGGCTTCTTGGAAGCTCGGGGTCGAAGGTAAATACTGTGGCCGGGTCTTCGAGAGGGTAGGTCCGTCCATTTGGCAAGTCCACCGAAAGTACCCCCATGAGTGTGGAGTGTGGATGATGCGCTGTCAGGTTAGAAGTTTCGCGAACTAACTCCCTGACGTAAAGTTGGTGCTCGCCGACGAAGGTGTGGGGAGTGACCCCAGGTGCGTTTGGTGAGTGCCTTTTGCGTTCAGACAACTTTTCGTTGGCCGGGGTTGCCCTTGCTAGTGTAGGTGCAATTTTTGTAGCTCTCGGGTGTGCGAAGCACATGCAGACCACGTCGTCGTCCGCTGTGCGCACAAAATAGTCTGGTTGTTCGGAGGGGCGACCCGCTGTGGGAAACACGCCACCGACCGAAGGAAATATCGACGGCAATGGATCAAAGGGAGTAACTGATTTGGCGGGAGCACCGAAATTATAAAGCTGAGTAGAGAATCTGCAGGTATTTTATCTTGGCTCAAGTTTGACTTCAGACTAAAAACGGCATGTTATTGAGTACCCGGCAGAGAAACAACCGGCAGCAAAAGCAGTGAGTGTGGAGGCAACCCACAACCTGGACGTAAGGGCCAACAGGTAGATGGTACGTTTTCTTCCGCCCCCGTATGACTTTGTCCGCATGTGTAGTACGTGTTTTCTCCTGTTGTTGTGGTCATAGCCAAGGGTTGCAACACCTCCAGTCTTTTGATGAGGATCTTCTGTTTGCGTTTTTTTTTTAACTGGTGGTGGTCGTGGGGGTTTCCGGTTACGAGAGGCGTTGAGGTAAGGCGGGGCTAGGGAAAATAGAGGGGTTTTGTTTCAGTCCGAACCTATTTGAGCACACAGCAGTACTGCTGTAGTTGGTGAGAAAGAGAGAAGGTCGGGGGTATGCTTTTATGTGTGTGTATCGACGTTTAACGTTGGGTTCTGCGGTTGATGCGACCGTCGGGTTTTGAGAAATCGAACCTGCGGCACCTTAACGGGGGGTCCCACCGCCCAAGACTTCTTCGGATGGCCGTGTCGTGTCGAAAGCAAGATAGATTTCATACAGCACAACACGGTACTCTCTCGATAACGATGAACCAGACAGGAAATCAATAACTCTCCTGTATGCAGTAGCCAAAATAAGAAATAAGCACTGCTGTGTGGCGCCCTCCTGCACCCAAGCCCGAGTGTACACACCACCCTGCCGTGCGTCCGCACAAACAGCAGCAGCTGCTTCGATCCGAACCAGAGCCAGGAAAAAAAAAGCAGGAAGCCTTGTGGCGAGGAAACCGACACTCCCAGAGGGCGGATTGCCTCCCGGAGCAGCACAGGTAAGTTTGTTTGCGTGAAAGGCCCGCCGCCCATCTGGCAAAAAAAAAGGCTCTGCTCGTAGTCCGTCCGTCCGTCCGTCCGTCGTTTTGGGTTTGGTTTCATGGAATCAAACATGCACGGAGCAAATCAAAATCCTGCTTTCTAGCAAAAAAGCACTGCGATGGCGTATCAAGCGATACACAAAAACCCACAACATATCTATCTCCCCTCAAGTACACCCCCCCCGCGCGCCCTCAACAATGCATCACTCTGGACCTGTTCAAAAACAGCTGAAATCGAAAATGGCATCCGAAGGCCACCCATCAACAGAAACGCTACAGGAACAAATACCCATAGAACATCAACCTAATTTTCCATGCAACACCGCGAGATCTTCGGCAAAGACATGAAACAAAATCTGAACTACCGGGTGAACGGACATGACACTCGACCATCGCCACCGAAATACAATCAACCAACCAGCGACACAATTATCCGGGGTAGGGTTGGTTACCCTTGCTGGGTCTGTGATTGCCCCTTGGTCACGGCGAAGCAGTAGGCCTTGGCGTTCCTGCTCAAAACGCGACAGAGCAGCGAGGTTTCCAGAAGAGCGGGGAAAGGGGCGGATGGGTGGTGGTGGCCGCGGGCAGACAATCATGCTATACTTGCTTCACCACCCGGAACGAATGGAAAAAAACAAAAAACGGGGGAAGGAACACATTCGTGTTTGTCTGCCCGCTTTCACTCCGCGATGTGAATTGAGGCCTGGCGTCGGCATGGCGACCACCGGGTAACCCTTCTGGCCCCTGATGTGAGCCCTCGTTTCGAGGGCATAGGCCGTGTTTCACTGCTAGCTATCGTCGCGTGCTTTAGATGGCTGTGCTCCCGCTGGTGTTTTCAAGAAGAGCGCTTGGTTGACCGGCGACTGCTGGCTCGACCGGCCGCCGTCGATCGGCCCAAGTCCAACAAACGAAGAGTACTCAAATCGCGTTTCGAAAAGTCATCATTGCCGCGCTCGTGTCGTGTATGTACACGACTTTTTTTGGGACGCATAGTTCGCCGAGTTCACTGCAACCAAGACAAATTAACCGCACGTAGAGCAAGCTAGAGAGAGAGAGAGATAGACGCACCTGAAAGTGGACATGTCCTGCATAGCGGTCTGGTGGTGCTTGTACTCGATGAGAGTCGACGGCTCCAGGTCCAGGACCTGCTTTAGGCGCTCGCCGATGTTGAACCTCACCTGATGACGCGGCCAACGAGCGGTATTGCCAACGAAACGGGAGACGCCAACGAAGGGAAATCAACCAGCAACGGCAGCCGCAACGAGAGGAGACATCAGCAAAGGACAAAAATCATCAGCGACAGCCGAAACAAGACACGATCAGCGTCCAAACGGGCCGGAATGACAACGGAACTACCAACTTTGTGGCGTAAGGGACGAAATAGTAGGGATCGGGATCGGGGGTGCCTGCCGCATCATCACGATACATCTACGCAAGTAGGAGGGAGGCAAGCGAAACGCAGGGGACCCTCGTCGGCATGCACCCGTCGAGTCCCATTGCTTGCTTCTCCTGTCGCGTCTAGGGTGTTAACACACACCTTCTCGTTGCTGTTGTCCTCGTTCCACACCGACAGCAAGTCCTCCCTCGAGCGGATGGCCATGCCGATGCCCACCACGTTAGGCTCCTCGAACATCTCTCCGACCACGGCCAACACCAGGTCCTGGCCGCCGGTGGGGGGAAAACAAGGACAACGACCACCAGCGAGCACGGAACGGCATGAGCACCATGAGATTCAAGGCGGCAGCGTTGGTAGTGTGATCCATGCATAGACCTTCGCGCGCGTGTGTATCCGAACCAACCGACCAAATAGTCCACCGGCACACGTGGAGCACCCATGGTCTCATATCCACCGACCAAACGTTAACGTTTTCACCCTCACATACGTAGCACCACAAAAACAAACGAGGCCCATAAAGAACCCGATTGTGTATTTTTTGTCCGATGCACACCGCTCTCCGACCAAGCGACACGCGAACAGCCTCGCACCGGGTAGCCGTGCCCCCCCCCCCCCCCCTCAGAGGTTGTGCTACCCCGCCCAGAGCGGCCGCGCCCCGTGTGGTTCGTTCGTTCGTTCGTTCGTTCTCACCTGCCACATCTTTCCCAGGACGCTGGTGTTGGTCTGGCCGGACTTTTTCCGGATCCTCAGTATCCAGCAACCTCCGTTCGGGTAGCGCTGGTGTTTTTTTGGACGGACGAGTCAACGTGCGACGGGTATCAGCACAACGTCAAGCAGGGAAAAGGATCGCCGGAATACGCCGGTACATCTTGCGGGGGCGGCGCTGTCTCTACTAGCCAAGCACGAGAGACGTCGAATCGAGAAGAGGCACAGGGCAAGAAGCGCACAGTGGTGCCATAGGCTGGTGTGCGAGTGCTGCTGGGCGCCAAGCGTATGGCAAGGCACGTTGCTGCTGTAGGCTTATCGAAAGCACCCACACGCCCACAACTTTCCCATCGGGTATCCAGTTTTGGGATGCAGGTAGCTAATCAGATGCAGCAATGATTCGAACAAAGGCGTCGATTGAAAGGGGAACGTGCTCCACGTACTTTACGGCGATACCGCTCCCGTCATGCTTCACCGTGACCTAAATTTTAGTTTGTGGCCATATGATCAAACACCGCCGGAAACACCACCAAAAGGCTAGGCTCACAACTGACAAGCCGTACCCGGTGCGTGATACTGTAGGCTTTCGTCCACCAAAAGCTAACTGTACCTACCACGCGTTGGCTTCTTTCTGCCGGGCAGCGTGCGCACCACGCCTTCGCGCTTTACGCTTGGGGCCGATTTCGAGCTGCGTCTGCTGCTGGCTCGTAACCGAACTTAGTAAGCACCAAGTTCGCCACGCAACGCTGCCGAACATGGGCAACAACAGCAACCCTTGCTTTACTTTGGCCCGCTTACCTCCCACATGGGCACGTGCCCCCGCTCATCTCTGAAGAGGTACACGTTGACGTTGATGCTGATGTTGGACGGACGCTTGAGGTGCACGTAGTTCTTCCAGAACCCCTCCAGGGTATTGAACGATCCCGCCTAGCGAGGAAATCATTCATTGATTCACCACGTGCAGTACGTACCGCGTGAAACACAACAGGATTTCACATGATCCTAAAACAAAAAAAACGCCGCTTGATCCTTTCCGATGTAACCCGCGTATTGACCGTATGTCACTAACTATTGACCATGGGGTAGTACCGCACGATAAACAAAAGGGTGTCACAAGATTCTCTTCAAAAATATCCCTCTTGATTCCTTTCTCATGAAACGGGCGTGTCGACCGTGATGCCACAAACTAGAGTTGGTTTTCTTTCGGGACACGTCCGTCCTAATATACCAATATGTCGCAGTTTCTTCGGTACAAGCGGCGACCAACCTTGTGAAGAGATGCTTGGTACTGTGTTTGGTCCTGGGTCTTCTTGGGCATCTTCTTGTCGTACCTGCGGGAAATTGAGATTTCGCCCGCATAAATAAAAACCCATGTAACTGCAGTACTTCGAAGCATCAGAACTTCACAACTGGGCATTGACCACAAAGCAAATGGTGCAGATAACGTCTGTCGCGTCTCCTCTTCAGCCCCTCCTGTAGAGCACGCCCCACAGCTACTACTGTGGTGTGGGTGTACATTTGGCGGCACAGATCCTCCGCGGGTCAGTCACCCTGTAGTAACCAACGCCCAACAAAAGAAGCTCAAGAAGCTCATTCCTGTAGAGCACGCCCCACAGCTACTATTGTGGTGTGGGTGTACATTTGGCGGCACAGGTCTTCCGCGGGTCAGTCACCCCGTAGTAACCAACGCCCAACAAAAGAAGCTCAAGAAACTCATTCCTGTAGAGCACGCCCCACAGCTACTACTGTGGTGTGGGTGCACATTTGGCGGCACAGGCCTTCCGCGGGTCAGTGACCCTGTAGTAACCAACGCCCAACAAGAGAAGCTCAAGAAGCTCATTCCTGTATCGCAAGCCAACAAGCAGTGCAATGCGGAGCCCATTATGGTACAGCAGTATCACCCCGTTTTCTTGCACGAGAAACGCCAGCATCGGTGGCGAGGGGCTAGCCGGGGAGGCGAAATCCTTGAAAATAGAGGGCAACGGAAGACCGCATGGCCCAAAATGACGACTTCTACATAGGACTGGCTCTAAACGCCGACTCAAACATTCCTGCCTTTGTATCCATCCAGCGTACTGTGATTTGGAAAACCTCACCAGAAAGACCATCCTGTCTGCAACGCGTGCTCCCCGTTCGGCAACAAGCCGGGTTGCTGCTGCTCTGTACTTGCGTTATCCCCCGACTGCCCTGCTTTCCGTTCCGCCATGGCCGATTGCACGCAGTTTGCTCGCTACTGCTGCTGCTGCCTGCTGCAGGTGGTCAAGAGAAAAATCGGAATCACTTCTGTTGGAGCATGACTCATTGTTTATCGTTGTGAGTTTATCTGCGGCGAAAAGTTCGGGGTGTCCCTTTCAATTCCAGCAAATGAAAACAAAAGCGGCACTGCTTTAGAGAGACACACGGAAAAAAACGTGCGTGCCTGTTGGAGGCAGACACATGGACACGCTCGAGACTATGCTATGTAGGTGAGAGAGGTTTCCGGCCCTCTGCCATCACGACGGACACCCGAACCTAAACCCTACACCCCAACCAGATGCGGGTGCTTGGTTGGTGTGCCCTGGGAAGGTCCTAGGTCGGTGCTGTCACTTAAATACGTAACATGGTACAGCGGACACCGGAGTTGGGCCTGTACTGCTGTATGTTGTCCGAGCGCTGCAACACATACAGCAGGACAGAATGCAAACGAGTCCACGTGTGAATGTCCCTCACGGGTTTCCTGTAGCGCAAACAGCTTCAAGCACGTGGTATCGGGGCGAAAACGACAGGTGGTGTGTTCTTGACTCTTGACTCGGACGAGTGCGTTCCTGGGGCATCCTACAACTTACAGGGGACCACTGCCCACTGCCGGCAACACCGCGAAGTTCAAAAGGAGACGGCATATGTAACCACCGAGGCTCCGTGGCTCCGGGCCAGGAAAACCAAACCAGGGTACATCTTAGCTGAATACTTGCTAACCCGGCATGAAAACGGGGATACTCACCACCAAGCAGTAGGATATCGTCGGTGTATGCGTATATCGGCGTGTGTCGGGTTGTGCGGGCGGGTGGTGTGTACAGCCGTGTGGTGTGTAGCCAGCGGAGGGAGCGGAGAGCAGGATGCGGGGGAGACGCCGAATCATGCACGTATGTTGTATTCAACAAAATAGCCCTCTTGGCGCCCCCGTCGTTGTGTTGGAGTGTGCGTGGGCTTGTCGCACTGGGTGTACATTACGTTAAACCATCATGGCGAAGGTGAGGGTTGGGTGTCCACACAAGATGTATTCCTGTGACTTCTTGTGTTGCTGTGCACGAGCTTGCGGAAGATCCCTCTCTCTGATGTACTTCAGGTTCCTTTTCCTGCCCGCACGCAATCGCAGCCGCCCGTGCAAAGCTGACAGTCCCGCCGACAATAATCAGGCCAGCAGATCTGAGAGGGCGACAGAGAGGGAGAACGCGTTGCTGCTGTTGCTCTTCGCATCCAGCAGGCGTGTCGTAATACAGAATGTACAAATCTTGTATGCCAACCTGAGGGATGTGCGCGCATGTTCTCGGCAGTCGGCCCCGCTGCCCTTGCCGCTTAGTCCAGGGTTCCTTCGTAATAGGCGACCGCCCTTTGCACACCTCTTGTTACGAAAAGCTATGATCGCTTGTCGAGTGGGACGTTTTTTGCAAAGCACCGCAGAGGAAGTTGTTTTGTGTAAGCCCAGATCTGAGCGCTTCGATTAGGGAAGCAAGATCGTAGGGTTTTTAGATGCTGTGGTTATTGGGAAAAGTTGGCTGTCTCCTGTTGGGATATAGTCTATCGTGTGCGTGTTCTGACAACATCATCCAGTGACCTCAAGCTCGAGTGGGATCAGTTCTAACTTGTTTATGGTGTGCGTATGCAGGGCCACCCCTAGTTTAACGAAGCAGTCTTGCCTGTTGAGTTTACTACTGACGGCCGCTGCTGCCTCTGTGTCTGTGTTTACTCTCCGTCTAAACAGAAGAAGGCTGGGCGTATCGCCATCAAACTGCTGAGCACGGCAGGGACCGGCTTCTTCTATACAGCCTCGAAAAACGTGCGAAAGGCCACCAACAAGCTGGCCCTGCGAAAGGTACACAATACAGGCCTTGGAAGGGAATTCTCGTTCAAAGCCCTTTTTGCTGAGGTATCCGAAGAGTTGGACAGGGAAAAGACAAGTATTTTAGCAAGCCGGTGCTGGGCTAGATATTTTGTTTGGGTGTGTTTGACATCATCTCCATTACCTCATTAGTCCTTGGTTCTCCCCCTTCTCGATGTCCCAGCCTGCGATACGGCTGCTACTTCGTACTATATTATTCGTTTGGGTTTTTCGCTTCTACCCAAGCAAAGTGCACATGACATGTTGGTGATGGGAAACAGACTGGCACTGTACTACTCCGTCCGCCTCTGGCTGGTGTGCTGCCCTCCTTAACGCGGTAGGTGTACGATCTCTGGCTTGCCCCGGCGGTTTGACTGTGTAGTGGAAATAACACATCCGATAACATCCGCCGTTGTGATGGCATACATAGCTCGCCTGCCTCCGATCTTGAAGAGACGTGTACCCATGCCATTCGCACGCGTTCGCCCAACCTCATGACCGGTCTCTTTCGATAGAAGTCCTGAAGCATGTGCATGTGCCAATAGTTTTGGTCATCTGTGTCTCCCATGCTAGTTGCTAGTTTCACGATGGTCGAATGCGTGACCCTTATTACCCCGCTGAAATACTAGCTCCTTCAGCGATGCACAGCAGCGCGAATGCGACAACATTAGACATGTGGCCTTCAACAACACAGGATGGCGCGCGTGGCTGGCGAAAGTGTGCGCGGCGCAACTGTTTTTGGCACTGCTGTATTTTCGAATTCTCACCCGTCAAGTGTCGATGAAGGCCGCCTGCAGGTGGCCTTCACGCTATTCGCGCACACGAGACACGCCTCGACCGTTTCCCCCTCCCGTTGTCCGCTTGCCTGTTCCCGCCTTGCCGGCGAACGGCGTGTTCGCGCGTGTGTCGAATTCTTGCAGTACGACCCTGTAGTACGACAACATGTCGTCTTCACCGAAACGAAGATCAAGTGAGCCGCCCCGGCCTGTCCGAGCATTTCGCGTGAGGCCAACCCGTTCTTCTCCACATGAAGCGGCATCAAATCGAGAACTACGACGGAGGGAGGTCACCTCTCACCAACCCGTGATACGTCGGTTTGTCATCGATGGCATCGCGGTCGTCTCACATCGGCTTTTTTTGCGCTTCGACCTGGCGTTTCATAGACTGAAGTCGACGCGGTGCGCATGTATGTAAAGTATCGCGCGCAGAACGCTTTTTTTTTTCCTTCGTGGTTCAGGTTGGGACGGTGTGCTCACACGTTGTGCTGTTGGTAGGAACTGGCCATGTGGCAGGCTGACATGCAGAGATATCAAGCTAGACAAGTCTGATGTACCGGCGTTACGGGGCAGAGTAGCAAGTGGTGACCGAGCAATCACGACTCTCTCGTGAGAAGCCATTATCGGTAGGTTGGCATTTTCCGTACCACGTGAAGTTGTGCCTTGCCGTCGAATTAGAGATGGCGTCGTTCTGCTGTTGGTGATATCCCGAGCGTGAATTGTCAGTGCTGAGAGGTGCATCGCTTCGCTTGTTTCTAGTGTTCCCTGATGCTCAGTAGGCCCGATAGAGCCTGTGTGGACCCAATCGGCTGTGCAAATGGTATATTCCACGAGTTTTTTTTTGTGCGAACAGAGGGTGTTGAGGTGGGCAGGCGAAAACGGGAGGAGCGTGGTGTTTTCATTTTGGGTCAAAATGGTGTTACGCTTTTGGGGCTGAGTTCTTGAACCACGAGAATCCGTCCGTTTGCTGTTCAAGGTCGGTCCTTGGGCACTGAGGGTCGCTTCCCGCGTTTTGCGGGTGAGGTCATCGCCTGTGTGACGAGGGCATTAAGGTATTTCTGTGTATGAAGTTGATTTCACGGTGCCGAATATAGTAATTAAAATCGTCCTCGGTGCGTTGAGGGATGCGATGGAAAAAATAAACCACGATGATATCGCATTGTCAACTACAGCAATGGTTGACGGTAAAGGGTATCATTGCCGGGGCCCCCTTTACGACCACGTCCAGACTCTCCCAGGGTTGCTACCATGTCGTCATTCCCCGATGCCATCAGGGGTGAAAAGGAAAAGGTGTAACCTTTTTCTCTCTCTTGGGCAGGTGGGTACACCTTGTAGCCGGCCGCCTTCTGTGGACACCACGCTGCCAGGGCAGAAATAACCCTCCTTACGCAAGGAGTGAAGTGGCTGCCGTTGTCAGGCAACGTACGTATCGGTAGATGGTGGTCACGGACAGATGATGCTACTACCTGTACATTTATGCTTCGGTCTGCTACTTACATTACGTACAACATTAAAGACCGACAAGGAGGTTGTGCTTCTTGGCAGTGACCGTACACTTGTGTACATCGTTGCATGAAGTACATCACAAGCAAGCCCGGATGGATCTTATATGACAGCACCGCCTCTCTCTCGCCACATGCTACATTGTATCTACATGTAGTCTTCTTCCTGCTCCAATCATCGCTGGTGCCACTACTGCGTTTGACCTGCTGCTGGCCTCTGCCGTGCACTACATATGCGACGACGGCGCGTAGCTCACGAGCTCCCAGGCCGTTGCCTCTTGCGGTGACCGTATCTTTGTATTGGTTGTTGCATGAAACACAAAACAAGCAAGCGCGGATCTCATGCCAGCACCGCGGTGACCGTATCTTTGTATTGGTTGTTGCATGAAACACAAAACAAGCAAGCGCGGATCTCATGCCAGCACCGCCTCTCTCTCTCTCTCTCTCTCTCTCTCTCTCTCTCTCTCTCTCTCTCTCTCTCTCTCTCTCTCTCCCCCTATCGCTTTCTCCATGTAACTCCTGTTCCAATCACCGCCAGTGCTGCAGCATTCGCTGGACTGGACTGCTGCTGGCCAATACTAGCAGTTCCGGCAGCAGTGGTACCTCCGTCCGTGGCACCGCGAGGTACCGAGAGGATTTCGGAGTCTTCAGCAGTACACAGCAGACCTATCTCTGTAATATATATCCGTTCGTGACGGCATCATACCGAGCAACCAACGGCACTTGAATAACAATTCAATTGGGGAATAAGCAGCCGTGGCACATGGCAATCTCCACGTTGCATAGAAGTAAGTACATACATATACATATTATTTGCATACAAACATACAAGTCTAGTCTACATACTACGTGTTTCTTGGATGGATGATGTGTGTGTGTGACAAGGGCGCGAACAGAAAAAGACAGAGGGTGAGACAAGTTGGGTGAGAGGAAAAAATGCTAATTTGGTATCCGCGAGCGAACGCCCTCCACCTTGTCTGCCCAGTTTTCACTGGAAGTGGCCGACACTACCTTCGGGCGGTCCCACGACAGGACACCACTTTTCCGCACATTCAACAATCTTAATCTTGCGCCACCGACCCATAGCCTGAACCGGGTGGAACAGGTTATGGAATCTGTAGTTTCAAGCCCACACCTATCGCTGATGATTGTAATAATAGTAAATACACGCGACTTGCCTCCTCATCTTCCTGACACCCCTAAACAGCAAGAAACAAGTACACCAGTCCAGTATTGGACCATGCTACCCAAAGACGTTAAGGAATTGCTGCTCCAGAGGTGTGGTTGCTGCCAATATTGCTCCATATTGAAGTACATGATTTCGACACGTGCAAAGGTAGCGTCCAACCCTCTAAGAGCTGTATCACGGGTTCAATCCCAGCGAAAGTGAGATTTTTTTCGTTTTTATTTTTTTTTCAGAACATGCATACAACTGCACTTCGAAGTAGTCTATAACGTGTATACCTGTTCATCCACGTTGGTGGATATCATCGAACTGTTGAGGTGCACAACATATAGACTTCAAGTCAGCGCTGACTTGAAACTCTAGTGGATATGCTGTGCGCATTATTAACAAAAAAGAGTACAACGGGTCCTTTTCAACTCGTTAGAGGAGCTGTTGGTGACGCCTTTTTTCCGAGAGAGAAAAATGTCTGAAATACACGCACACGCCTGAACGTCGTGAAATACATTCCAGTCGTCCAAGTGAAGGTACTATTCCCACCATTTAGCCGACGAACCGCATGGGGCAGCGCCAAGTACAGGGATTACAACCCTGGGCCCATTGAATAACGTCGAGGTCCAAAAATAGCTCACTCTAACGAGTTGAACCCTGTTTGTAGACTTGTTTGTTACTTGTAGACTACACCATCTTTCTTTATCCACAACCAACCAATGGTAAGAGTACAGGTAAGCGCTGTCTTGAACTCTAGTGGATATTTTGTGCACCTCAACATCTACTACTATTGTTACGGAGTATAATGTACTTGCCTGCCTCAATCCCAGCACCGGTCGCCCGGTGGTCTTCTACATAATGCAATATAGTTGTAGTCAACCTCGTAAACCTATTCTTCTCTGTTTTCTTTGCGCGGGGAAACGATTTGTTATTCGTGAGTTGATTTCGGTCAGTCGTTCGCTCCAAACGAGCTGGCTACCACTGATGTAGGCACATGCTGCAATGGATTTGAACTGTTCGCAGGGAGCTGGAGTGAGTGTGTTGTCGACGGTGCAAAACAGGCGCCGTACTTTACGACCCCCTGATACTTTGAGCCGTCATCTAAGTATGTAGTTTTATGGTGTTGAATTTCGTTTTACACGCGCAATCATGATCAAGCGGCCGCTTCAAGATCAGTTGATGGTTCATGAGACATGATGATATTGGGGAGCGCTGACACCAACCTCTATTCATCCTGATACTTTGTACCAAAAACCCAGCCACCGGACTGAGGGATGAGGCGATCCCACCCGTGATGCACCTAATCTGGGTCATGCCCGCAACCACCCACTGCCCCTCCCGAAGTATTGGGGTCGTAAAACAGTAAGCGCAAATGACTTCATTTTCCAAACCGAACGGCACATACGTTTTGCAAAGGCGCGTATCGCCGCGTCAACGTGCACCCTCAATCACACGAGAAGCTCCCCCCACGTTACCGAGCACAAGGGACAACGGACAGCAGTGACGGGAATGCGAATGCTGCATTGTGCTCTAAGTTATCTAAAACATCGACGTACACTCAGAACTTTTGGTAGTGCCACCCCCTCGGCTGTGGGTAATCGGGCAGGAAACTTCGCCGATGGGCGATCATTTCACGTTTGGTCAGGTCAGCAGCGGAGGGGGTCTCTGGTGTGTCCCTGGACTCAACAACATAAAACACGAGATCAGGTGTTTGTATCATTGAGAGGGTCGCAGAGGGTGCAAATAAGCATGTACTTGGAGCTGTTTGGTGCTACACATCTTTTAGTTCGTGTGCCGAGCGGGTCTTGATACCTCGGGTCCTTCAGGGAAGAAAGGACAAATAGGCCCGAAAGAGAAGTTGATGGCGCGAAAGTGACCTGAAGTCAGGACCAGCCACGTCCCTGACCTGATCACATGCAAACTGTGAGAGGGAAACACATAGCGCACCTGAGGACCGCCAGGGATTTCCGTCTGTTTCAAAACAAGATGGTCAGGCTGTGTGTTGTTCAATGGTCCCACAAAAGAAAACAGATAACACATGGCAGTACTTCAGTCACTCGCAGATATCTTATTCCTCCCACGTGCAAGAAACGCCGCCGTATTGTACGAAGCAGTGTTTTTCTATTCATTGTCAGCATCGAATATGGGCTGCTGCGAAAAGGGTGGCCATCGAGCGGTCTCCGTTGTTTAGCAAACAAATATTCCACGCATAGTACGTGTTTGCTTCCGGTGGTCGGTACGCTGGACGCGTTCACCATGGTTCTCCCCGCATCACCGTTACCTCAACCGGACGAGAAGGAAACAACAAGAGACCGAAAAAAACTGCAACCTCCCGCCACCACATCTCATCACCAGAAAACATCTAGAACCGTTTGTAACCACTGGGCGACGTAGCTAACTACAAGGTGAGCACCTGCTGGCGACCCGCAGCTCGCTTCTCCTGACAAGCGTGCGAGAAATGGGCTTAGGGCTCCTGTTGACATGGCAGCATGCTATTATTGTGGCACCGGTTGACATGGCAGCATGCTATTGTGGCACCGGCAGAAACAGAAACGCCACTACTTCGAGGTGCGGTGGTGTGGGGAGGTGAGAGTCACACTCAGTGCTGTTGATGCGGTAGTCCGGTAGTAGGTGTCGTCCGCGCAACGTTTGTGCGGTGAAATGAAGAAAAGGGAGTCGTATTTCAAAGGAAAAGAGGTTGAGAGAAGATTGCTCGTAGAGAGACCGGACTTTGCGGTTGACCCCGTCAAGTTGCCCCGGACCTGTTGTGCTTTCATTGGGAGTTAATAGGAGATCTCGGGTTTATATGAGCCCATATACTTCCGACACCACCATTGGCTGACAGAATCTGATACCGTAGCGTCCTTTCGTGCTGTGCCTGCAAGCCAGCTTTTCGTGTCTTTCAGTCATTTTGCTTGAAAGATTTGTCTTCCAATCGAAACACATGACACACATGGACCGCGCAAATCGTATGATCAACGAAAAACATTAACCTAGACTGACGCCCAGGTTATATGGGCCGATACGCACCTTTGCATCAGTATGCTGGTCAATATCCCAAGCAATAGTGAATGGGCCGGATGGTCGGACCACAGCACAGAGATAGGGGTGTTGAGGCCTCACAACATAATAAATATTCGAAATGTTTCCACAATGTGTTGCTTACACCCCAACGCCCCTCCGTGGTATTATATGCGGCATAAAACTGACCGCTTGAGACCGAAATTGGAGATGGCCACTGCATCTCCGCACCCCTGGAACGGAAATCGTTTGCGATCTTGTTGGGCTGCCCACTCAATCACCTGCTGTTATTGCCAATATGCCGGAGTTGTGGTGAATCATTGCTCCGTCGCTCGCTCTCTCATCTTTCAACTACACTCGTAAGTGCTTGGGTTATCAAGGTCATTGACTACTGTTTTCACACATGGCGCTGTGAGAGCCTGTTTTAACGTTACAAGTTTCACCCAAATATATGCCCTGAGAACGTAAGTTGGGGGGGGGGAGGTACCGGGGGCCAAATACGGTGATTGGTCAACTGGGAAATACATGAGGCTTTTGTTGCCGGGCGAACGAGGCTTACGTATTGTGCGGAGCAAAAACCAATGGCATAAGGAATTGATTTTTGCAGAATCGAGTTGTACCCGAGTTGGGAATGCGCCCCTTTTACACCCCCCATGAGGAGAGCGATCTCGTCTTGGCGCTATATCTTTGCCTGGAGGGCATGTGGCACACTAGAGGTACAAAATGGTGGTATCAAATTGCATACTCACTACTGCTGTAGACTGCGCTGCCTGTTGCAGTCTTGAGTGTTGTTGTTGTTGTTGTTGTTGTTGTTGTTGTTGTTGTCGCCGTCTTCGACGCCGCTGTTGTCGTTGTTGTTGTTCTAGCATTCTTCTAGCCTATCAACGTTGAGATCTCTGCTCAGCGCCTACTAACATCCGTATTGGTCCAAGTGACGCGGACACCTTCCGTGGTCGCAGGCGAATCCTGTTGCTTACAGTGCTGGCCCGCTCATAGGAAAACACGCAGCAAAATAATTTGAGCCTCAGACTTTGAAGCAACAGGTCGTAAGAAATCGAGTCCATCTGATGGACAACAACAAGAGGTGGAGAAATATGAAATCGCACAAGACCAACTTCACACTGACAACAAGGAGCGTTTTTCGTTTTATGGAAAGAAGCAACGACCTCTGACCCTTGACACGGCTCGACAGCAATCACGACCACGAGATGAGGACATCATTGCAATGCAGGAAGGAATTCGTCTTCGGAAATCCCGTCCAGTGAACCTAGACCTCGCGTTTGTGTGCTGTGGGCGTGGCTTGGGGTGGTTCCTGGTGCAGATTAATCGGGCGGCTCCGTCGCCAACCAGCCTCTTGCACCACTATCGCGTGGTGTCGGCCTATGATCAAAGCACAATCAGCTTAAAGCGCATCTATAATACGTTGTAGATGGGGGAAAACGCAGCAGTACAGTAGAGCATAGGCTTTTATCGAGCCGATACATGGACGGTATATTAGGGTGAGGACTATAATAGAGGACCCCCAACGTTCGCAACACCAACCATGGGTGAGGATTGTACAATACTTCGGGAATACATGACTATTGGAGTTCGAAGGGGATATGATATATTTTGTCCGCGCTCGCGAACGATGACTTAGTGCTTGCAAAGGTTCGCGTACAAGTGATATTCCAACAGCAGTATGTACCACCGGTAGACATGCCCACGCAACAACTACTGCTGCTGTGGGCAATGCAAGGTTCTTGCAGGAGGAGTTGGCTGGCAAACAAAAATGAGAAAACAAGAAATACACGTAGTATTCTCCACCAAACATAAGAGATGGGACCTAAGAAATACAGCCCACACCGCTACGGCCATTAAGTGTTGAGGCCAGCGGGCCGATCACTGGCCGGCAGCCGGCAGTAATCACAATGAAGTGTCCAACTTGCTGTTGACATATTTTCGTGATGCCTTCATTCGTACGAACGGAGGCTATGTACAAACGTCGCATCGGCACATCATCATTGTCTACACACGCTCATGCCGTAATTCCATCACTCTCGTGTGAAAAAGAGTAGATTGGGGGGCTCGGGGGAGCATTGAGGGCGGGTCTTCAGCCACCTGAACCCGCTTCTTCTATACCCGCCCCGTATCGACGTACCGACCGATTACAACTCGAGGGATCAAGCGACAGAAGGGAGAGCACACTTACGCTACAGCGGACTCCAAATTCTCTACGTACGGTCGATCGGACACAGACATCAATCAGAACAGCTGCACGCAACCACTTACATCCACTGCAACAGCAGTACAAGTATGGATATGCATATGCATATGTGGCCGTGTGCAGTGTGCAAGCAGGAATGGCGGCGTAGATCATTTTGGTTCAGCTGCACTCGATTGCCCGAGCGGGCAGGTTCTTCTCCGAAAACCCGCCGCGATCTTCATGTCTCGCAACTTCAAAAACACGCCGTGTCTTCCCCTCCTTGGCATAAGGCTCGCCTTGCTGGCGACTGGGAAGCGGAAACCCACCTCTGTGTAGCTTGGGCGTGCTCCACCTTTGGACGACGATGAGGGAAAGTGTAGGCTTCGGCGTGCTGGCGGTGTTCCTGCTCCAGGTAGGTGGCTCGCTAAACTAACCTAAAGGTTCTCTAGGGCAGCAGGCTTCCATATTCTTTGTTGTTCAACAACAACCGCAGTGTTTGGTTGTTCGCTTTTACTGCCTACCCCCGAGGTGCGCCCCGCGAGGCGCATTCCACACTATGGGCACATTCCACACTACGACAAAACCGCCAACCACCTAGGCGCCCGAGAGGGGGCCGCGCCCTTTGCTGCCGATGCACGGGACGGCACGGCTGTCAGGTAGCTTGATTTTTTTTTTCGCTACAAGCATAGACTACCAGTACAGTCGGGGTGATGACAGGGTCCATGCATGCAGAATTGCGGCGGAACAATCTCTCGACCAGCCGTCGTGTGTAGATGCCCACTGCTGCTGGCTTCTGCGCTCTCTATGGAGACACGCGTGATTCTGTGGTTATGGTTTGCATTGCTGGTGCTGGTGCTGTGTACTTTTCTGTTGGCCACGCACCGAGAGCAAGCGGTTGTTGCATGCTGGCTGGAGTGTTTTTTCCCACCAGCTGCTCGCTTCTTTCGGATTGCATTCTTGCCGTTGAGCCAGAAGTGTGCTGCTGCTGCTGCTGCTGCTGCTGCTGCTGCAACAGCAGCGGCGGCGGCGGCGGCGGCGGCGGCGGCGGCGGCGGCGGCGGGTGGTGGTGGTGACTTTCGAGGGCTTCAGATTGGCGCCTGTGTTGGCGTCTATCTTTGGTGGCATCCACGACTGCTGCTGTACACTTTATTCGTTTCGGCGGCCTACAGCAGTATTGCTATTATTCCTTAAGTATTGCAGTGGAAGCTTGAAGGTGGTTCTTTTTTGCTTTTCTTGTCCATGTATCCTGTGCCTGCTCATGTGCATACATTCCTCGTTGTTTTTGTTCTTCGAATAAAAGGTCCATGACAACACAAAGAGCTACCCACTGGCGGCACAGCAGTAGAGCGCTCAAGGGGAATCTTCAAGTCTTTTCAGCAGGAAACCAACCAACCTTGAGGGACACCTTTACAAGAACCCGCGCTTATCACCAATATTATGATTTGACTCCGCCCTGCTGTGGTTTTCTTCCCACAGGCGTCGCCAGCGTCGGGCTTTGGTGGCGGCCCGCTTGTGAGGCCTCCTTCCAAAACTGGCGGGTCTCCCGCTACCAGCACGCGCTACAGTTCCAGGCCTCGCACATCCAACAGGCAGGAGGAGCGCGGCTGCTCGCCTGTCCCGGGAGCGACGGCGGATGGCGCCGGGGAAAAGGAGGTACGAACGAAATAGGTCACCCTCAAGATGTTCGCCGGGCAACAGTGAAAGGGCGGGGGGGGGAAAGGGAACTCGCGTGCGGCAACAGTTGTGTGGCGAGAGGTTTTTGTACAACTAAACAAACGCTTGGCCCGTGGGGTGTCCATTGATTTCATGGCCCATTTTGTACACAACAGCAGTCCCGCGATTCATTTGCTACAATATACTGCACCATATATTGTTGCATTTCGATCCAAGGTATCCGGTCATCGTGATGACATACTTGTACGTGATCCAGGCGATGGAGTTGTTGGGCGTAGGTTTTCACCGCATCACTGACAGCAAAGGCTGGCTACGGCTTGTCTGTTCTTGTCGGGCTCTTCGATGGTCTTGGTTTCGTTGGCTGTGATGGTGTTCATACTACTATTCTCTTCCCCCAGAAAGGCTAGGTGTCCGTGTCCGTCGATGTTGCATAGAGCCGGAGGCAGCTGCTTGCAGGTGTCGGTCAAAGCTACTACTTTTACATTCAACGCTTCGCGGCGTGCTCGACGGAGGAAAAGGGTATGCGTCGCCCCCGGTCACCCTGTTGGTTATGACACAGACAAATGCCTCCAAAAATGAACGCTCAGCCTAGCCTTCTTCCCGCCCCTCTTGCACCGTCCTGCAGGAGCCGGCGAAAGCGAAGTCTGCCCCCAAGAAGGCCGTCGGCGGCTTGGCGGGCTGGGACTGGGGCTTCAAGTCCACGTCCAAGAAGCCTGCTGCTGCCCCTGCTAAAGCTGAGCCTGTTCCTGTGATGAAAGCGGAGGTAATTCCTAGGTTTGCGGATGCGGTCTCTCTCCTTTTTTCTTTCGTCGGTCAGCATACCTTCGTTTTGTTTGCGTGGGCAGCGCGCTTAGGATGTGCTCAGTCTTGGATTAGTCGTGTTTTGTCAGATGCTGCTGCGGAGTAATACCTGGCTGTTCGTGTGTGTAATCGAAGTTGTACGGAGAGGAAGTCTTCCAGCTGGTGCAGCTTTTACTGCCGATGTTGACGTTGAAACAGCTAGCGCGTTTTGCTAGCTTGAATGGAAAGCTGATATTTTATGTCGCCGTCGGCGTGGTAGTCCTGAGCACTACCCCCGCACCAGTTCCTGCTCCTATGCGTCTTAGAAGTGCGGTTTGACTGCTGCATTATGTCACTACGGCTTCAAGTCTCTGCGACAGTGGTAGCACCTCTTGTCCACACGATATATCGCTAAATAGTAGGCACGCCGTCGCTTGCGGCTACCTACCGCTGAGTTGCTGGTTTCCGCTTGGGGGCACGCCGCCGACAAGCACGAACGATGATGCGCCTCCGTCGTGCTGACGCTTCCCTCTGAACGCTACGAGCGGTGCGCTTCCGCCATGCTGACGCTTCCCTCTCAACGTTAAGAACGACCCCCCCCCACCCGCCGCGCCGTGCGCGCTGACAACACAGACTGGCGGGGACGGCAGCGGCGGCGGTGGTAACGGTGTCGACGCGAAGGCTGAGAAGGCGGCTCTCGATGCCGAGGCTGCCGATTTCGCCGAGGTTAAGCGCAAGGCCGCGGCGGAGATCAAGGCCGAGCAGGCCGTGGCGGCAGCGGAGGCTGCCGGGATCGCGGAGGTGGAAGAGGTCAAGCGCCAAGCGGCCGCCGAGATACTGGCCGAACAGGAGGAACAGAAGGTTAGATTTGTTTTTTTTTTCGAGATTGAATCTCACTGCTGTGCATCATTCGAGTTTGTTTTGTTTTCGCCGTGGATGTTGGGCTTCTCGCGCCCGCACATGTACAATTGCATCACAAACGTTGGTCAGTCGTGGTGGGTCTGAGGCAGCTGTTTCAGCTTCGCCTCACGCGGTCGGCACTACTATTTATTTTGAAGCGGACATGGCGGCAAGTCGTGTCAGGCTGGGCGGGCGTTCAACCTTGTTTTTTTCCAGTAGGCAACGTGCTCGGAGCAGACTGTGGAGGTGACCGTTTAAGTTGCGAGAATCGAGGCCCGCTGTTCACCAACCGCTTGTGCGCCCTCGAACGGAGTGCGTCCCTCAAGCCGTGTTTGTTTCTATCAGCATTTCGTAACTGTGCTTCGACTGGGTTGCAAGGTTATTCTTTGTTCCAATAGGCGGGGGGTTGACAATGGTGTCGCAGGATCAGTATGGGAGGGCGCACGGGGGAACTTTACGTTCCACCGCTGAGAGCGAGCCGACGTACCCGGCTGGTTGTCCTCTTTTTAACCACCGATCCCTTTTCCGGGCGCGAAACAGTAGTCTCTGTGCTCTTCCCCCCGCACCGCTCTTGTTGCGTTGTTCGACAGGGGCTCCAAGCTCACGGTGTCTAGCACTGCTGCCCCCGCCCCCCCCCTGTCGTTGCCGTTTCGCCCCCGTCAGGCGCGGAAGAAGGAGATCGCCGAGAGGGCCGCAAAGGCGAAGCGAGCCGAGGAAATGTCTGCGATCGCCAGGGGGGACGCGCCTAAGGTGAGGAGAAGAGAAGTAGCAACCATCGCCACGTCGCACACGAGCTTATCCCAGAGTTGTAGCAGAGTTGCTTGCAGGGTATGCGAGCAGCAAAGAGCGCACCAATCAAATATGCTTGGCGGTTGTCATCCCATTCATTTCTGGACTTGGGAGTGCGGAAAAAACGAACGTTAATGGTGTATTCCTTGACATTATCGGGCACCGGAAATGATCATGGACCCCGTGACAAAATGTGTTTCACTTGGACACAAACCGGTGAGGACCAAAAGCAATCACGTAGTTGGTTGGTATTAATAGGACTAAAAATCAGTGTTGTAGATTTTCTCTGCTGATTCTGGCCCAGATGAGGGGCGTAGCCGAGGGAGCCAGAGCAGGCGTGTGTGCCAGCGAAGACATGAGAAGGGGTGAACACTCTCCACATGCTCTGCTGCGCCCCCCCCCCGTCTCTTGTGTGTTCGCGACCGCAGAAGGCAGCAGCCAAGAAGCCCGCAAAGGAGGAGGAGAAGGGGGAGGAGAAAAAGGCTGAGCCCGCAAAGGCCGAGGCCGCTAAGACGGAGCCCGCGAAGGCCAAGCCCGCTAAGGCTGAGCCCGCTAAGGCTGAGTCCACTAAGGCCAAGCCCGCTAAGGCCGAGGCGGCTAAGGCAAAGCCCGCTAAGGCCGAGCCCGCTAAGGCCGAGCCCGCTAAGGCCGAGCCCACTAAGGCCGAGGCGGCTAAGGCGAAGCCCGCTAAGGCTGAGCCCGCTAAGGCGAAGCCCGTGAGAAAGAGCAGCGCCGGCACGGGAGGGTGGGACTGGGGGTTCAAGTCCACGCCCAGGAAGACTGCCGCCAAGCCCGCCGCCGCCGCCGCCGCTGCGAAAGCTAAGCCTGCTGACGAGAAAGCGGAGGTAGCCGTTCGTACCACATTGAGTTGGCCTTTTAGATCGGGATTGCGCGTGTGCCACTGAAGCTGAAGCTGCCGAATAACATTTTCTTATTGTCGGCTTCATGGCTGAGGTTCTCGTTGCTCAATGGTGTGTTTGTCGTTACAGATCAACGTTGGGTTGCGGCCCCTGTTGGTGCTATATGGCACGCCACAGGCACGGTCGGAGTTCGGCTCGGCAACGTGTTTTCTTTTCACCTTTTGTTGTCTCCGTGCATTTGAAGCTGTATGGCTGGTGCTGTGGGGAGGGAGGGATTGTAGATGGCCGCGCTGGCACTGCTGTGGTTGTGGGACGTGATATGTACGCCTGCTTTGAATATAAAAACGAATAAAAAAGCGATATTCTTTTTATGTGCGAGGTCACTTTGTTGATCCCTCGGGTCTCGTCGGGTATAGGCGACGACGGCTTGAACGAATCCGAAGTAGGCGGAGGCCCAAGTGCTCCACCTAATCGCTTCGCTCGTTTCGAGTCGAAGGCGGAATACCACTTGACGTGCAATACCATACCATCCTCACGGGTTGCTATGGTCACACGGAACGTGTGATCATACCATCCTTTGCGGTTGCTATCGCCACACATCAAGCCATTTCTTGTTTGTTTGTTACGGGTGCAAATTCACCACTGTCTGCTGCAGCCAACATCACGTTGACACCTCCTCTCTGGCGCGTCTATTGCTGATGCTGATGCCAAACTCTCTCTCGTGCTGCTGCTGCTGCTGCTGCTGCTCCTGCCGTCGCCGTTGCCGCTACCGCCACGCCGTGTTTTCCTTATGGCCGAGTTGGTGCATGGCGGGATAACACATACTCCGACTTTCGGTAGCTTCAGCTGAATTCGCTCTAGAACCTGTGTTAGCGTGCATGGAGTACCTCCGTAAAACCCGGCGCTCTTCCTGAAGATCAAATCACACGGAGGCGAGGGTGCATGCTCCTTAATAGATCGGAAAACCAAGTGGTACAATTGTCTACTTGTGCAGCCGTACCACATCTCTCGTACGAAGACGAGCCGGTCTCTAGTGACCACTGTGCTGTAAACAGCGCATGGCCCAGAGTAGTAACGCGGGACTCCGAGAATACCCAAAAAGTCACACAGCCGGGCATGCTGATGCCCCCCCGCTCCCTAGACCCCCCCCGCTCCCTAGACATCTTCCACCTTGCGACCCTTCGACCTCGTCGCTGGCCGTTTAGTGAAACCTGTAGCTGCTGGTTCGTAAAACCGCCGTACCGTGGCACGTTTTTGCCACCTTTGTCTGAGAACTTGATTTTCTCGATTCCGTGTTCGGTGCTGTGTACCCGTGAGATGGCTTCTCTGCCGCTTCGGCACCGCCAGCGACCAGTCGACCCCACTCTTGTCGCAGGCACAGTGCAACCCCGGTGCCATTTTTTTTTGTTGCCAAAAGCGTGTGAGCTTTACGCACGACCATGCTGCACCGAGGCGATCAGCATGTCAATAAAGGCATCCAGCACCGTCGTACCCCTGCTTTGCCGTCTGAACGGCCCCCAATACTCCATGCCTTCGGCGGCATACAGTTCGATTGCGAACAGCCACAAAATGCAGCCAACTGCGATGCCTCCAAGCGGCCCCCCGATGCTGCTACTCCGGCCCTGCCTTTCTCGCCGCCGCCGCCGCCGCCGCCGCCACCGCCAAAAACTCCTCCTCCTGTCGTTTTTGTTTTGAAGAGAATATGCATACAAAAACGCAGAAAGACTAACACTCGTTCGAGATATAACCACACTCTGTTTTTTGGTCAAGTGCTCGTTCTTGACCTCGTCGCAAAAACGCCTGCTCCCGTCGGTTCTATTTTTTGTCAAAATTGTCTTGTTGCCGCCGCCGCAAAAAACGCCTCCTCCTGTCATTTTTTTTTTATTCTTTAAATTCAGGCCAAGAAGGAGGCCAAGAAAGCCAAGGCCAAGGCCCTGGAGGAAGGCAGGGCCGCCGCCGCCGCAGCCGCAGCCGCGGAGGCCGAAAAGATCGCCGAGATCGAAAGGAAGGCCGCCGCCGAGATCGAGGAGAAGGCGGCGGCGGCGGCGAAGGCCAAGGCCGAGGCCAAGGCCGAGGCCGGCGCCGCCAGGGCCAGGCACGAGCAGCGCGCCCAGGAGATGGCCGCGGAGGCCAGGGGGGATGTGCCGAAGGTCGGTTGGGCCGATGTGCCGCGCGAATCAAGAAGTAAAACGTTTAGGAAAATTGCCGTCCTGCCCCCCCCCCCCCTCCCTTCATGCTCCGTCTTGGCTTTGTAGGGATGCCAGGTCAATGGTCTGACGAGTACGGCACGCACGGCTAATATGAGTACTCCGTCCTCCGATCTAACCGCTAAGGCATACAAAACATGAGTACGTCTCCCCCCCCCCGTCAGTAATCGCATGATCAGGGCGTGCTGTGAGTACATAACGGCTTGCGGACTATGGTCAACAGTGTCGCCGGGTACAAAGTATCCATTAACCATTAGCCCCAAACACACGCTAACCCTAATTTGTTCAATGTATTGGCATTAGTTTTGTGATGCGCGTCGTGATGCTTGCGTCTCCCTCGCGTCCTTCTTGTAAACAGTAGATACCACACACACACACACACCTCTATGTAAAAACGTAATAATCGTCTTCTTGGTGGCATTCGAAACATTTCACGTACGTATGCGAAACTAGTTTTTTTTTATATATATTAATTTTTCATGGGTGACTGCAGCCGAAGAAGAAGGCCGCACCCAAGAAAAAGAGCGTGGGCACAGACGACAAGAAGAAGGAAGACGGTGACAAGAAGAAAGGAGACGGCGACAAGAAAGAAGACGGCGGCAAGAAGAAAGAAGACGCCGAAAAGAAGACGAAGAAAACGAAGAAGGCCACGAGCAAGAAAGAGGAAACCCCTAAGGACGACAAGAAGGACGATGCCGCTGGTGGCGGCGACGAAGCTGCTGCTGACGGTGCCGAAAAGGAGGGGGGAAAGGCTGCCGAAAAGGCAACGCCGGCCAAGACAGAGAAGAAGGCGTCGACTGGTGGGGGCGGCGGCGGCTGGGGCCGTTTCGGGTTCGCTCCGCCGAGTAAAAAGGCCAGCACCAGCAGCATCACCCTGACTAAGCCGGAGACGATCGTGGTGAGTAAACAAAGACCGACACCGACACTCGCGTTGTCCCCTTTCCTTCCGACAACGTCGGGAGACTGATTGCTTGTTGTCGCAACCAACGGCCGTTATAAAAATTAACTGCGCACGCGCACCCCAAAACAAGATTCAGTCGGGTTGGAGTGAATCGGTAGGTAATCATTGCTGCTGCTACTTGTGTCCCTGTCCTCGTTTTCTGGTTGTATTTTGATTATTTTCGCTGCTACCGTGGTTTTCCTCGTCGGTTTGCGACGTTTGGCGTTTTGGTGGTTGTTGTCGGCGCTGACGTCGTACTCGGCACCGCATGCGTGACTCGGCACCATACATATATCGGTGGTGTGTCCTTGCTCCGTGTGATGTATCGTGCCGGCCCTCTTATACCTGTTCCCTTCTCCGTCTCTCTCGTGGTGCATGACTTTTTTTTTTTGTGCTGGCACCGCTCGTGTTCCGGCGGGCCGTCACAACCGACCGGATACTATTTACCGAAAAACAAATATATAAAAAAAAAGGTGGTTACCGGCGCCACCGGACGGGTGGGATCGCTGGCGGTCCGGCGCCTCCTGGAGCTGTACCCCAACGTGCTGGTGAGGGCCATCGTCACCGACATGGCAAAGGGAAAGAGGCTGCTCAAGGAGGAGATCGACAAGTACGGCATCAAGCTCGAGGTAAGGCGTCAGCAAAACACGTCGTGCTGACTTGAGTTGAATCCGTCTGTTTCGTGTGTGTGTGTTTTGTGTGTGTGCTAAAGTTGTTGTGTGCTGGCTGTTGATGGAGGCGTGGGATTGACCTGTTCGGCGCGGACGTAAGAACCTGGGCCCCCCGTTTCTTGCAGTCGGTTGGCACGAAAGTTGTGTTTTTCTTGCATCGTCACGTTTTGCTAATCGGATCATGGGCTGCTTGCTGTCGACGCCACGTTTTGCTCATATAGCTGCCGCACGCGGCCCTTGATCATGGAAGTGGCTAATCTTGCTGTTGCTTCGCATATGTTGCTTGGGCGCAGATTGTGTCTGCCGAGCTCGGTGGGATGCGTTCGGCGGCAAAGGTGGTGGCAGGAGCGTCCGCCGTTGTCTTCTGTGCCTCTGGCTTTGCGCAGAATCTGTCTCCCATAGAGAGGTGGGTGTATGCTCGCTTGTGATCAATTTTCACGTAGTGGTTGTGGTTGTCGTTGTTGTCGTTGTTGGTGAGGCCTGTGAGGTTTTCTGGCAGCACGGAACGCTGGGGTCTGATGCTTTTCTTTGGCTTTGCCGAAAAAACTTTGTCGATGATGGTGTCGATGACAATAATTTTTTCGGCAACTGACGGGCTTACGGACACTTTCGCTCGTGTCGCGATGGCGGCAACACCCCAAACACGATCATGTCCAAACAGGCTGGCCAACGCGGTACGGCTGACCATCAACCCCAGCTCGGTGGCAGACGTGGAGGGTGTTCGCGACGTGGCAACGGCCCTCAAGGCCACCAAGAAGCTGGTGTCGAAGGCCTCCAAGGCTCAACAGGAGATCGACGACAAGGCCAAGGGTAAGGCCGAGGAGGGCGGGAAAGCCAAGGAGGACGAAGAGCCCGAACCCCTCTACCCGAACGCCCCCAGGTGAGTTTTTTTTTTTCCCATGGGTTCGCGGTACGGCGGTTCTGCTCTGTGGTGGCGTACGCTACTCTTTGGTGGTGGAAGGGTGACGATCTTGGCGCGATTGAGTGAGGGCTGGTGTGTGAGGGCCATGTTCATGAGGGCTTCGATGAAATTAGTCGCGAGTTACTTGGTGTCTATTTAGCATTTTGATGGAGGACTCGTGGAGCGGGGCAACGTGGTACGTCAAAGTTGCTCCACGAGGCTACACCTCCGTGACGTCTCACCAACCTCGAGCCTCGTCCCTGACGACAAGCCGGGACGTACGTAAGTGGCCCTCCACGATACCCGTCCATCCGTCTTCCCGGCATTACTTAACCAAGCTGTCCGGCACCTGCTGTATCGTCGTTCTTGTTCTTTTTTTTTTCCCCTGGCCGGTTTCACTGAATCTCTCCCCGCCATCGCCCCTCGCGATCACCGCAACGCTGGTTGAACGGTTTTGGTTCTGCCGCAAAATCGCGAAAAACCGATGGGGATCAGATTCGTGCTGCTGTCGTCGGCTGCGGTGACCCGGCCTAACTGGAGTTCCGAAGACAAGGCGCTCTACCCCTTGGTAAGTATTTTACCACCACGTCACGCTTCGGAAGCCCCACAACGCTTTGTCATGCCACTCGCTTTACTATCGCGGCTCAAGACTGGACACTGCGGTTTAAGAATAAATATCGCGGTTTAAAGACTAAGAAACGCGGTGTAAGACTGCACACCGCGGTTTAAGAGTGAACGCCGCGGTTTACTACGGAACAACGCGGTCGATAGAACGGCGTGGGTGTAGCGTGTCTCCACTTGTCTTCTGCTTTGTTCGAATGAGTCTTGAGCGACTGCTTGGATGGCCCCTGAATTAAGCGTCGGTACCACCGTGTACGCTCGATTATCTGCGTAGGAAGAGTATTAAAGAACTATATCAGGCGACGATGACGAAAATTATCGGTATTCTTTGCACCGCTTCTTGCCTGGTTTTCTACTTCGTGGCTCCATTCCTTCGTGGAGAGTGTGATAGGCTTCGACCGGGGTGCAGATCGAGTTCGTACGCGTTCGGGTTTTTCGGTGTTTTAGAAAGCTGGGCGATGGGCGCCGCTTCTGGCCCCCCTAAACAACTAAAGGGGGTATTGCGCATGTGCGTTGTGGTGGCTCTTGCTTGGCTTCGGGGAGCGATGTGTTCTGTTGTGTTGATAGCTCTTGTGTTTTCTTGCCTGCGTCGCCCCTACGGCTTGCCCATACGGGACGACCCCATGGCAGCGACAACAGATGGGTGCATGTTGACATTCACCAGCAGCTCCTCTGCCATCGGCGGGTAGGCTCAGAGCGAGAAAAGGTGCCCGCGCAATTCTGATCGGCCATTTTTTTTGTAGATTAGAATTTTCCGGTCGGCGAAACATTCCATGATCACCGGTGTCGTCGTCGTCGTCCAGGGCGGTGACATCACCGTTCTGCTTACTTGCTATTCGTTCTCCCAATACCGCAGTTGGTGTTTTGATTGTGCTCACTCGTTTCTCTTCGCGTGTGCTCTAACTCCTGGCCCTTACCACCGTGGTACCCACCTGAACGACGAACAACTGCGGGGGACGCCTTGCCCTGGTTCGCCTATAAATTGCGCCCGCCGCGGACGACGATGTCGTCGATAGTCGGCGGACGTGCCGATCGTGAAGCTGAACCCGCTCAACATCCTCACGGTAAAGGCCCAGGGGGAGAAGGAGCTCCGAGAGGTGAGTCGGCCGTCGGCCGTCGGCCGTACACTGCAGCAGTAGCGTGGGTTGTAGCGTGTGCGCCTGTAGCGACTTATGATCGAGGTCACTCCTGTCCGGGTTGGGCAGAGACTATTCGGGGTCCTGCTGAACACTTTACTACTCGGCGTTTGCTGTCGTTCCGAAAAGAAAGAAAAGCGTGGCACATGACGAAAACCAAAGCGAATTATAGGGTGCCCCCGTTCTTGTTCCAGGTAGAGTGTACTTATGGAGGCAATCACCGCAGGAGGAAAGGCGGAGAGTCCCCCCCCCTGGCTGTTGCGTCAGATATGAAGTGTACCGAAACGTGTAGACTGACCCCCAAAAAGACGGGACGGGAGAAGAAGAACGAAGAGAGTGTACCGTCGGGAGTCGAGTTGAATTTGAACGCTGGCTGTGTGTTTCCTTTCCTGTTCGTGCACTGGGGACGTAACCACGTGTGGCAGGTGGGCATCCCCTACGTCGTGGTGAGGCCGTGCGGTCTAAACGACGACCACCCGAGGGGGAGGCCAATATTCTCCGTGGGCGACACGGCCGCGGGGAGGATATGCAGGTGAGAGGGCTGGCGGCCGGCGCCCTTTGCGTGAGTGGGGCGACCGCCGACGGCTGCTGCAGCAAGTAGTTTTGCGTCTCTCGATTGCCGAATGCACAGTTCGGTCTCGTTTTGAGTCCAAACGGTACGCATGTATGTATGTAGCATCTTTCGTTTGTTCTCTTTCGGGTGTAGCTGACGTAAATTGTTGTCCAAAAGGGGAGCTGGAGGAGGATAACGACGAAGAGCGCTTGCTGGAACGTTCACCTCCGATAATGTCTTGCTTATCCTCGATATCGGGAGGGTAGTGTGGTAGGAACAGCTAGCATAGCAAGGAATACTCCAAACGTGCACCGCTGCGCGAAACGCTGGGGTTGACTCGAGTTCGAAGGGCGCACGTACGTACTGGGGCGCGCATTAAGGTGCTTCCTAGCCGTGCCCGCCTCCACCCACTCTCGTGTTGGTCAAACAGAAAAGGCGTTGCAGCGTTGCTGCAGACGGGGAATAAGGTCACGCATGGGACACGGACCCCAAGAGTGAGAGTTTGGGTGAAAGAGAGTGAAATGATCGAAAGCAAGTGTTGTCACATGCTGACCGTGACCTGCAGAAGTGCCCAGTAAAAAGAACAACGACTGTAAAGTGGCACAACGGGGCATAAAATAGTGCGGTGTGAGTAGGTGGTCTTGTGATGAAACCACGCCGTCGGTCCAGCCGCGCAACCGCCGCCATTGAAAACGCCTTCCGCGTCCAAACGCCCTGCCAGGGAGGACGTCGCGGACGTGCTGGTGCGGTGCCTGGGCACTCCTGAGGCCACCGGGAAGACCTTCGAGGTTCAGTCACTGCCCGGATTCGAGAAGGTGAGAGAGTGTTTTTTCGGCGTGTGCTCGCCATCTAGATGCAGCCTTCTGGTGGTCGGTTCAACGTATGCCCATTGGTGCCCTCTCTCGGCCGTCGCATTATCGGCGTACTATTTATACAATTGTTGGATCAAGAGGGGAGAGCTAGTGGCCAACGCATGCCCATCGGTGCCCTGTCTCGGCTGTAGCAATATCGGCGTACTTTCAATGCAATTGTTGGATCAAGAGATTCCGTGGTACATGGAGGGGAGAGCCAGTGGTTCGATTGAGGCACCTGCGATATTTGTCTGAAGATCCTCTACAACGGGGTGGTAACACGAGCGCGAGGATGTCGCGGTGTGCTTCTTGTCACTACCGGTTACTGGTTGCGTGCGTGGTTGTGCTCGTCGCAGCAGCCTCCGCTTGGACGCCCGACCACAAAGGTTGCCATTGGCAAGGTTGACCGATGCCTCTGTGTCATTCCCAATAACTTTCCCCTCACAACCCATGTGCTGCCACAAATGCTCGGTTTTGATGCCATAAGTTGCTTACTGGCGTGGGCGTGTTGGTGCTCAGCAGCAGCCAGCAGGGCACCTACCTCGATTGAACCCCAGGATTGAGGTTGACGTACTCACGGAATTTTTTTGTCATGCTTGTGCCAACCATCCATCGACTCTTTAGCTGCCTGTGTTGCCTCCTCTGTCCAGGTTCACGCTGTTTTGGCATGCAATTGTGTCAATGCTTTCATTTTTCTTTCCCATTTTTTGTGCTCAGGTGGCCTCTTCGGTGAAGACCAACAGCAAGGGGAACATCGACCAGGCACTGGCCGGCCTGCCCACCGACAAATCTCTGTCGAAGGATCCGGAGATGCTCAAGAACTTCAGGCGGTACACCTACCCCGTCCTCACGCAGCTCCGCCCGGTCCCGCTGGTCCAGATGTCCAAGAACGATGAGGAGGAGAAATGAGGAGTGGGTGTGAGGAAGAGAGGGGGAGGGGCGGGTGGTAGCGTAGCGTGAGCAGTCCACTGAGGGTCACGGTGTTTCGGTCGATCGGAGGCTGGCTCTTCGCGACGGGAGGCCACAGGGGCAGACTTTTTACGGTCGAGTACATGTAGATGATCAGGGAGGGTGTAGGGAGAGACGGGGAAGACGTGATTCAAGGACCTAGTGATTCGGGACCAAATAAGTCCACTGCTCGTGTGAAAAGGAGTGGCTTTGCTTCCTTCTCGACTGGAGAGCGAAGCACCAATAGCGGGGAAACCCCATGGGACGGGGTAGCAGAATAGTTGGCGACCATCGGAGCTGACGAAAAGCAAATAAAATATCAGACAACCCTTTGGAAGGGTGGGTGGCGGAGCAGTTTTCACTGCGAAGAGCGATGAAGTCTTGCAAGAGTCTGGACTGGAAGAACGTCATGGAGGCGAGTAGTGCTGGGAACGGCTGGGCATGAAAGAGGGCCCTGATGGAGGAGTGATACCTGGATTTTACTGACTCTCCTTGGTTCCTCCTGAGCGGCGCTGCTCCAGAATTTTCGGGAGAGCGTATTTTGGCAGTCGAGAAGGAGAGGTGTCTCAAGTCAGCATTGATTTAGTGATGCTACGTACAACGGTCGAACCAGCCCATCAATGCGTGCTTGTGCGACAATGATAGTGCCGGTGACGATAAACACACTTTGATGTTGGGGGACAGGACATCTCACTTTTACTTCAATGCCATTGTCGTTTGTTGTAGCAGATGCTTGTTCTTGATGCCATAAACTACCAAAAGAACGATTGTTGTAGATTTCGTAGAAAGGTTCCTAAGGTTTTTTGTAGGACGCGGTCTAAGTTGCTCGACGAATATGTACGTCGTCTTGACATCGATAACGCGCCGCTCCGACGTAAAACGGAATGTGGCCACGCTAAATGTATAGGCCATTTTGAAATGATCGAAACCAGCTTGCCCCCTTTTCGAGGCGGTGTGCATTGTATGAGTCCTTTGTTTTGCTTTTAGGGATCGATCGGGCATCGTTTTGTTGCAGAGAGGTCGTCGAAACGCTGGCGATTGGGTAGCACGAAAAGCAACGGGGGAAGAAGTTTATGCCCTCTTCGCACTTTTTTTGGAGAAGCTACTCGTGCACATGAAACGGTTCAACTCTGTCGGCAGAAGATTCATGGTGGCTTTTTGTCTGGGGGATTAGATGCTTGAAATGGGTTCGACAAATTCCGGGTACAGAGATACGTACGTGGTTTCTTCATGCCTTACTGATGTGACTCTTCGGTGCTCGCCCACGGTCTGGATGGAAGCCCATGCTTGTTCTGTTGATTGATTGTGTTTTGTCAAGGTGAGTCGGAGCTGGTCGAGTTAGGTAGGATTGCGATTGGTTATCGTTCTTGTTTGTCCATGTTGGAGCGTCGCCACGCCGCGAGTACCATGGCACCATGCGAGATGCACACATGCTCTCATTCCATCCACGCGTGAAAGTAAGGAATGTGTTCCATCCACGCGTGAAAGTAAGGAATGAGTTTGTGAACCGTACATGCTATTCCATGCGGGTGTTCACGTTGTTGATGGCTTGGCCGAGGAGGACTTACGTATGTACACGTACGTCTTTCTTGAATTGGCGTCGACCGTGTTAACCCGCTGACCAATGAAATGGCGTCAGTCTTTTACAGTGGGACACAAAACGCGAACACGCTTTTTAGTCAACGGGGTCTGAGCCCCGGATTCGAAGCACAAGGGCAAGACGAAACACCAAGTGCCATTGGTTGCTGCGTTATCTCTCGTCGTCCCGTGCTACTGTACAGCTACAGCATGTTTTCGTGAAGGTCTTGTTTGTTGCCTACAAACGATATACACTGAAGCAGCTCACAAGCATTTAACTCAGGGGTGGCAATATGCCCTGGGAGCGTGTCTGCGAGAATCCACACACCACCGTGTGTTACTTACGGTCAAAAAAGAATCGGAATCTGGAGTTTTCAACCGGCACAAACAAAAAAACGTCGTATAGTGACCTCCAAAAAACAATTATGTATGTTTTTCCAAGTTTCCAAAGTCCAAAAATTTGGGAGTCATCGAAAATGTTGGAAAATGATAAAAAAAAAATTGGAGGGCCAAAAACTTTGGAACGGTACAAGTAGCTTCAAATTTTTTGGAAATGTTTCATATTTTTACCTTAACGTACCGCGCAAGGTTTCCAAATTTGGGAACATTCCAATTTGGAAGAACAGTGCTGTTCTGCTTAACACGGCCCTAAACAACAAGGTGCGTGTTTTTTTCAGTACATATCGTGTGTATGCATATGCACAGCGGCAGTACAAGGCAATTGAACTCGCAACAAATCTGTTGGTGCTACCAGACGCGAGACTGAGGGCCAGAGGAACAACGAAAGCGATCTCACGGACGATATCGTGCGCTTGGACTCTTCAAGACACGCGTTACCAAATCGCGACCGACGTCTCGCCCATATCACCACGAAAACACAAAAAGTTACAACCTCGTCGCGCCCGTCGCACCCCTGTCCCTCTGGTGCAAGTAGCCGCACCACAAACGATTCACGCTGCTGTTTGTCGGCATTCGTGTACCATAAGCATCGCAGATATGACTACTGCAAGGTATTGAGTCGCCACCCCGCGGCTCATTCCCCCGCCCTACATATGCGTACGGCTTTTTGAAACAAGCAGCTGCCAATGACCCACCATCAAAAGGACTAGTTGCTACCCGCGAAAGCTGTTCCAAGCAAGATATAATCGACGCAGGAATAGATATCCGAAGCAACGCGACAGACATCAACGGAACAACGTGTTAGATGGATACTGTAGTCTAAACTAAAGTCGATCAGAGCCGGCCATGAACTAAAAATTGGCTGGCATCACACAGTAAAAAACACGTAGACGGTTCTGCAAAAGACCATGCACTGCCACCAACCGTGTACACCTACCGCGAAAGCCACCGAACAATAAAAAAACAAACGTGCAGGGAGCGAAAAGATGTTTACTCAAGGACTAGAACAGTCTGAGCCATCGACAACAGCCCTAGTATCCTGACATACAGCCAGAAGAGAGAACAAGGAGCAAAAACCACGCCATTACGTCGGTGCTTGCAGGTTTACCCATCCCATCTCGACCCACAACCGTGTGAACCCTCCCGACAAAAGTCTCAAGACCGACGCCCATGAAAAACAACGCATCCTCGAGAGCGTCATTAGGCAGGGTGAGCAGTGTCCACCACCTTGTTGTCTCGTTCTATGACGCCGGTGCTTCAGTATCCCATCCTGTGAAAACGGGGACTGAATCCACTCCTGTGTAGAGGTGGCGTCGTCCTCCTCGGGCCTCAACCACTGAACGGTGGAGGCGGTTCCGAGTACGCTGGCGGCGGTGGAAGATCGATATCCCCGGCGTCTGCCATGGGCGGAGGGGGTTCTGTATATGCGGGCGGGGGAGGCAGCGGGATGACTCCCTTAGCAGCACCAGCACCACCTGCAACATCACCAGCAGCACCACCCGCAACAGCGGGATAATTTTTAGAGCGGGCAGGAGCGTTGCCGAAGCTCTGATCACCTCTCGCTCGGCGTCTCGCCACAAAGATGCCGACGAGTGCCAGAAACGCCAAGCCGCCGACAATGCCACCAATAAGCAGTCCAAGCGGGACGGAAGAAGAAGACGTCGACTCCCCTTCCGATACTACGGGGGTCGGGGTAGGAGGGACCACAGGACTATCCGTTACAACGGGTGCGGGGGCGGTGCCAGTGCACCCACAGTCCATCGAAACCTCCTCGTCGGTAACGTCTTCGTAGGTGCCGGTGCCGTCGAGGTCGCCTGTTACATACATACATCAGTGGTGAGGGTTGGCGCACGGGTCGCCGTGAGGCCTCGGGGGCGGGGGGGAGGGGGGGGGGGCTTCCAAGACAAGGAGATCGCACACGTAGTATCACGATACGAAGGAAAGTACTCGAACTTGCTAGCGATTGATACTGCGGTACATGAGCCGCATCCGTACACAGACTTGTACACAGACTTATATGGCCATCCTCCTGCAGCAAGGTAGGCCTGTCCTCACATGTCCACGTGGCGTCGGCAGGGTGGACAGTCACGGCGTCTTCGTTCGAAATGCAATAAATGATGGTCCCATCGTCTTCTTCGGAGATTAATGCTAGGTAGAACGGCATGATCTGGTGTTGAAGAACACAAAAAGCAAAGAAAGCAAGAACACGGAGACGTTGGAAGCTACAGTAGCTCGGTATGAAAATGCCTACCCAAGTTCTTGAAAACACGAATATTAGGGGGACAGTTGGGTACTGCAGAGGCGACGCAACCCACTTGGTACCAAACCCAGCAAGCACGCACCGTCTATGATGGGTTTATTGGATCCTGCCGCACTTACGCAACCACGTCTGTCTTCCCAAGAAACGAATGCCAAGAAACAACGAAAACACGCCGGTCCGACTCACCTCATCGCCGTCGTCATCAGCAAAGGCGGAGGAGCTCCCGAACATGGTTATGTGCTCCCACTCGGTCAGGCCACTGACGGTGTACTCTTCGTACTGGCCCCCGTCGTCGAACGACAAAGTTGTTTGCTGGTAGCACCCCTGGACAACGGGCAGCACGTCCGACGTTATGAGGAACGACTCGCCGTCGCCGCAAGACCCTTCCGAAGTATCTCCCGAAGTGCCTGTGACAGGAAAAGGAGTTGATGGCGTGATCACGATGTCGTCGGCCGGCGCCGGGGTGGCGGGCACGGCGCCCGTCTCGATCAAAACCCCGGCGAAGTCAGCATAGAAATCAGCCGTGGGGTCCTCCCACGTCCCTGCGGAGAAGCCCGCAAGCAGCGCGGCTCCGTCGGGGCCGACGTCGACGCCGATGAAGTTGTCGTGATTGGTGGTGCCGGCCTATGTGGACAGATGGGGATCAGGTTCGGGGATGCAAGGTCGGAGAGTTGGGGCTCTGAGGGACCGACCCCTTCAAGGACAGTAGGCGCGAAAGCACCACCACTGCTGCAAGCGTGTGGTGGCCCACAACCATACCCACAGTACCCCTCTGCCTTGCACGACATGGACACTGCGGCAGAGACTCGTTCTACGCGGTTACACGGTGCACGCTTTTGGAGATACGCGCGTGCATCCAACTGAACAACCAAGGCGAACATCATGATCTCGAACCGCTTCCGACGCCCGCCCGCCGAGGTAACTTGCTCGTTGGCAAGACACCAGACGTACACGCAAGTGAAAGATGTAACTGCAGGTAGCCCTGCACGATGTCGTACGGCTGAAACTCGTCGAAACACGCGCCGCACCAGGTAACATCAACCAGGCTTCGGCAAATCAATCTATGACACGCAGGATCGCCGGTAACCACAAATCAACCCCGGGCCAGGATAAGGTCCCGCCCTCGCATACTTGCCGTTATACGGCACAAGCTGCCAGGCATACGTGCCCTTATGGACGACAGAGAGAGATCAAACATCAATGATTACATAAATACACCAACATCGGGTGGGGGAGTCCTGGTCGTGCGTGGCAAAGCCACAACCCAGCAGCGGCAAGGATGGGGCGCAAGACATGAAGCGATATCCAATACTTTCTGCCGGTCGGTTCGGATCGCGATCATACAGACTTAAAACTTGTGTACGGTCTATTTGTTCTTTCTCTGTTTCAGGATGGAGAAGAGAACTGTGGTTCGTCTTTGCCAGCCTTCGATTTGTCTCTGTCCCCACTCTGCTTGTCCATGACCAAGGCGGCAGAGAGAAGGATCCTACAGCAACACCTACCACGTGCGTAGACCCCTGCGGGCAACCAGTGACTCACGTCCTACGTGTACGCAGACAAGATACCTGATACGTCCACAGCAAAGTGCCGTCGCCATCCATGGACATGCCCACGGCGTCCATGTCGTCCTCGTCCTCGGCTTGCGCTGCCGCCCAGGTCCCGAAGGTGTAGCCAGCGAAAACCATGGAGGTGCCGTCGATTCCGGTCGCCACTCCTTCGAAGCTTTCGTCGTACGGTGTCCCATCCTGCACATATAATGCCATTTTCAGCCCCCGACACGTGTGCAGCGCGGGTTTGCATGTCAGGTGAGCCGCGATGACACGTGTTCCCCGACACTCGACAGAAGTAAACCGCAGCCCACGCGACTCGCCGGATCAACCACACACACGCATGATGGTAAAAGGCTACTACCGGACCCACAGCGACAGGGTGCCACTCTTCGTAGGGTAGGGGAACACTGTCAGGTACATATTGTCCGTCCAAGGCAATGCGTCCGAACACTTCTCCTACACGTCAGTGCACTTGTGTCGGGGTAAGTGGGGGCGTTCCACAATCTAAAGACAAAAAAATACAGGCCTTTCGGAGCGCAACTGGCTACGGAGAATATTTGTTGTGTTCTGTTGTTCCCTGCATCGAGATGCTGAAAATATCGTGAAACTAATCTTGTCCGTTTATTCCTGGGGGTGTATTGTTGGCCGAAACAATCTCAAACCGGATTTGGACAGTTTTCGAAATTTGCCACCTTCCGATTGTAAAAAGAGAAAAAAATTTAACAAACGTAAAGAAACAACAACAGATCTAATATAAAGTAGGGTGTATACTTGTTTGCCTTTTCTGCCATCACCAACCCTCGAATTCAAATCAGAGTGTGGCAAGCGATTCCAGTCTTGAAACCCTGCAAGTTTTATTTTGTTCCGATATTTCGTAGAAGAAAGTGACATTTCGCGAGATATTCGACGTTCTGTCTGAAACGTCCATGTTCCAGATTTGATTTTTTATGGATTTAGCGTAAAACACCTCCAATCGTTGGTCACAACATTTTTGTGCGCCTTGTCCTGGCAATCACTAGCGTTCCTGGTTCGTCGCTTGAATCGGATACGTTCAAACGTCACGTACCTGGAAACCATGATTGAGCAATTTGTCCTAGGCGGACCATAGCTCTCCAGACCTTTATAAATAGTACTTCTACTTCGTAGCACACAGAGGGGTCGGTCTCTTGATCGTAGTTATCAATAAAGCAAGGTGTGCGATCGATCTTTGGTTCCATTTTGGCACTTCGTGTCGTACACAGCATGTGCGAAAGCAGAAACCCATGAGACACGTTCACAGCAGCCAGCCACACCAATGCATGGGAGTGAGCGCACCGAATATGACGCTTCAAGCGTGTCTTTGCCACATAGAAGTATAACCTCGAACGTGCGGGCACCGTTAGACTTAGCTGGGGAAGGAACCGCCCTCGCGGGAATGCTTCGTAAGGGAAATATGATGACGCGCCGCCGGCATCGTGGCTATCCCCCGGATCGGAGCTTCTCAGTTAGACAGGCGCCAGACTGTGCGGTGCGGAGAGACAAAGAGCTATGGCTAACATACGGATCGACGACACGACAAACAAAAGGGGTTTGGTGTCGTTTTCAAAGACCATACCTGCCAAGTCCAGTCAAGCACACCCTCTTCGGTCAGCTTGACAACTGCAAAGTCTTGTGCCCCCGCGTTCGTTCCGGCGTAGTTACCGTCTGTGGTTCCCGCGAGCACCACAGAGCCGTCCGAGAGGGCTGCCACGCCCCATGCTGAGCTTGAACTCAAGAGGCTGCCGTCCTGTTGAGTCGTGAACACCCAAAAAACGATCGCCTTCAGGAAACCTATGGTGTGCATCAATGCCAAAGTCATTCCTACTTGTCCGTCAACCGCCAAGGGCCAAATATGGTGTGGGAGGGTCGATCACTCACACGTGCTGCAGCAGCTTACAGTGGTAGGAATGGCTGCGTTGAACAGCCCGTGACCGACCACCCCTCGGTCCCACCAGCTTCCTACGGATAGCTCTAACGTTTTCACCGCTGGACACCACCACGCCCCGGACGACATTGTGCAAGTGACTACCTATTGTTTTCGGAATAACGAGTTTTATCTCGGAGCAATCGTGAGACTCCCATCGGGGTAGTCGCCAATGCACGCACGAACACGAACCTGGAACCGCCATAGCTCCGAACCATCTTCGTCCAGGGCCACCGTAAAGAAATCGGTGAACCCGGTCAACTCTCCGTCCCAGTCTCCGTCGGTTACACCCCCAATCACGATCGATCCGTCCGCTCGCGAGGCGGACCCGCGCGACACAACGCTTTGTGATGGCACCCCCGCCTGACCAAGGTATGGAGATATGCGCGGCTAAGTTGTCAAATGCCGACGCATCGATCGAATGGCTTGAAATCGTTGATGAATTCTGAAGCCGGAGCGATACCGTTGGGTGTTCGGGTACATGTCAAAACACATGATGGCTGTTGTCGTGCTGTCACACGCCGAGATTCAAACTCGCGGAGGGACTAATTAAAAGGTTGCGGAGTCACCCGTGGACTACGGTGGATGAGCCCACTTGCTAGACAATATTCCCAGCCAAGTGAAATCACTCCGCATTAAACCCACGGGGAAGGAACCACCTGCAAACAGCGATATGCTGTTGTCAGCCGCGGATTCCCCCTGTTTGGGGTGTCGGCGCGTGTCCTTCATTATCACGCTCATGGACTCTCGTCGAGAGCATTTCTGCACAAAGGAGTGATTCAAGTTCCTAGCATTAGTTTAACGAGTAAGAGATGGGGCGAGGCCAAGCGGAAACTCGCGCGTCAGGTCCATCACACCCATACAAACAGTACTCAGCCCATCACCGGCGTCACCCCCATCGTCCTGCACCACGCAGGGACTGCTGCGTATGGTCGAACGGGCGCTGGGATGCTCCGCCCCAGCGGACAATGTCGCGATCCTGCCGCCGCCGCCGCCGTCACTGCTGCTGCCGCTGTCTTCGTCGCCACCGTCCAACCAACAGCGATCCTCATCGCACTCGTCCTCCGCCTCTTGCGCTTCTGATGCCAGTGTCAGTGTAGCTGCTGATGTGGGCGTTTCGACTGCCTTCCCCAATGGACACAGCGGGGGACAATAGGACCACCAGTGGACGACGCCACCAGTGCCACCGTTCAAGCTGCTGACGGCGCCCCGGACGTTCCCCCCACCGAGGCATCGGAGAGACCGCCAATACCTGTCGCCGACGCCACCGTTGGTTCCGGTGCTGAAGCCACGCCGGCTGACGACGCAAGTGATTCGGCCGGCTGCACATCCAGCGCTGGTTTCTGGTCCACAAATCGCCTCCGCGTTTCGGCAACCTCTTCCCTCATTGCTTTGGCAAGCAACCCCGCTCGAGATCTTCACCCGACCGGCGGTTACACCCGTCGTTTTTCGCGCCGTCGCCGAAGCCGCGGTTCCAGGTGCAGACGTCATCGCCTCGGTCGCTTCCCCCGCCACCGCAGCGGGGAAACCATTGACGCCGGTCGTCGTTCCCGCCGACGCGGCCGCCACCGATACCGTCGCCCCAGCCGCGAGTGCCTGCGTCCCGGCCGCCCCCCCCGCCGCCGTAGCGGGGAAACCGCCACCACCGGTCGCCTGCTCCCACCACAGGTGCTGCCCCCCATGCCCCTGCTCCTGCTGCAGACACGGGGAGCAGCGCCTGCGGTCGATTCCTTAGCCAGTACTGTTGCGGGTGTTCCGGCTGTCCCCCCCCGACAACCAATCTGCGGGAGCAGTTCCAAGGTCACCGGTCCCGCTGCCCTTTGTCTCCGCTAAGCGTCGTCGCTTCAGCTGCTGATGCGGCACCGCGTCGTTGCCGCTCCCGTTGAGACCTTCGCCATTACCGACGTGTGCGCGCTGTGGCATGCGGTCAACGATTGTGCAACACGTGCGGCGCCGATGCGATGGCCATGCTCACCGCAGGCAGCGCAGTTACCTTCACATTGACGGTACATTGCAGTTGATGAGTGTGTGCCCATGCTACCATAAAAGCCTAACAAAGGAGCTCCTGTTGTGAGTAAACGGCGTTGCTTCCACAGCAGTCATAGAACTCCCCAGGTACCCACCATCGGGAAGTTAGGAGGGGATGGTGGTGTACTACAGATGGTGGTTCTGGATGAACCCGCTGCTGCTGCTGCCGCTGCAGCCGCTGCTGCCACCACCGCCGTTGTTGCCTCACTTAACCAACGCCGCTATGACCGTACCCAAAACCACCGACGGTCATCCCATGTGGGTCGTGAGACGGTGTCACTGCCGCCGCCGTTGACGCCTGCGCTTTGCCCAATTGCTTGATCATGACGTTGTTAGCGTATGCCGTGCGAACAGCGTTTTCCACTTTCGCTTTTGAAATGGTGGGGTCGGCCAGGATGGACTTGCGTTAAGCACGTACTCGTGGTGTGAAAGCTGACGGACAATGATGTGCCCGACTTTCCGCTCAGATTTTTGCGATGCCGACAGCACTCATGATGTTGACGAATCCGTCTACTTTGGCGAACAAAGGCTTTGGGCCCTCGCCGGGCACATCTCAACGGTTTCAAGTCGTCTCACAAGCATTGTCTTCCCAGCATCCAGAGTAGGCAAAAAACCTTCGTGGATCAAGCCCCATGCCGCAGGGACGCAGCTGCAAGCAACCAACGGTGCTTCAATGCCCGCGCCGCAGGTCGCCTCTAGCAGAAATCCCCATGCCCGTTGCTGTGCCGTAACGAGCGCCGCATCATGAACTCAGTTCAGATATGTGCGATCCGAACAGCTGATGACGAGAACCGTGGTTAGCGGGGTGGGTGTCTTCAAGCGTCTGCTCCAAACCCTCACTTGTTAGGAAACTCCGCATTCTCCGCTGCCAGCTCGCGGCTATTGTCGATTTGGTCGGGATTTTGGGCGGTTTGTGACTACTGCTGCAACCTTTCAAAGCCAATTGCCACCATTCATCATGCTCACCCGCTGGTGTACGGAGCCCAGCTCCACCAGTTTGCCCTGGCAGTCGTTCTTCCTGGAGCCATTGCTCTTGCAGCTCATTTCTTTCTCCGCTTCCCCTTCTTCCCCCCCAACATCTTGTTTTCTTCTTCCGCCAAACCATACCGCATTTGTAGATCATTCATCCTATGCTCGAATTTGTTCTTCTCTGCCTCCGCCATACCTAACACGAACATATATTCTTTTCTTGTAGCTCGCCGGCCTCGTTCTTACATTCAATGTCTTGTTCGAACCTTTGGCGCTCGCTGGCAATTACCGCCGCAGCAGCTGTCCTTTTGTACGTCAACCGTTATTCCACCCCAAAAGCAGCACAAATCATCTCTTGTTCTTGTAGCTCGCCGGCATCGTTCTCGCCACAGCAGCTCTTACTCTAGCCAGGACCCTTGATGCTCGCTGGCAATTACCGCAACATCAGCTACCCTTTCCTCCAAATTCCTTTCCCTGGATCTCCTTGACACTCGCGGGAAGTTCTCGCCACAACAGCAGCCCTTGTATTCCAAAACACAGAGGTGCCTACCTCTCGAACCTTTTTTTCCCTACCGACTGTCAGCTGACTCCACGATACTGCTGTGTTTGGGGTGTCGGCACGTGCACTTCGTTATCACGCTCGCGGGCTCTTGAGCATCTCTACACAGAGGATGTGACTCAAGTGCCTTGTGTTTACAGAGAGTTTAACGAATTAGAGACAGGAGCGAGAGACCAAGCGGAAAGTCGTGCATCGAGTTCACCACATCCATATGAACAATATCCACGTAACCCCCCGAGATGTCGGAGATCCGTACCGTGCCGAGTACACACTAACACCCCGTATCAGATGCTTTAGAATCGTAAACACGCGAAACGCTCGCACGATATAGCAGCTGACGCTCTCCCCCCTCCTCTCTCTCTTGTCGCCTCACAATGTTGTGTTGGTTCGAGCTTTCACCACCGGGGACAATAGCAAAGCCCTGGCTTTTTCATGTTACGAAGCAGATCCAAACGTAGCAAATCCACATCGTTCCGAACTTTGGTACCCCGGATATGTAAATTTGGTGAAAACTCGAGTGTTAACAAAGACAGAGCGACCTCTGATCGAGACATCAAGTGCTGTTGAGAGTAAGTTCGAAGTTGGTTAACTCCACGTACTGCCGAGCAAAAACGACGACGAAAACCACTAGTCACTACATTCGAGCGTTACACTTCTCGCGACAGGGCAAGAGATCGAGGATACAGAAAAACTGGAGGGAGCGATGGAGCGGTTGTATCACTTCCGGAGCCAAACACAGAATCAAGCAGCTCTGTACATCTCAGATGGGCCGCTCTCTGACAACCATTGCGCCATTCCATACCCGCCCCACCCACCTGGTATTGCCAGATGACACTCCCGTCGGTAACGTCTAGCTTGACCGCCACAAGCGCCCATAGCCCCGTGTTTGTCTCGACCCAGTCTCCCAGGGTCGAGCCCGTCAGCACCACGTTTCCGTCTGCTGTCTTGCTGCACGTTGTGATGCCTTCGTCCATCTCGGTCCCGTCCTGCTCCTCGGCGCACGCCAGGCACGAGAAAAGCAAGTGGTGGTAATGGTGTGCAAAATCCATGCCTGGCCGTAACGGGCGTGTCTTCACAGAGCACGCATGCATCTATCTGCGAAGTGACGGGTCACGCACCACCATCCCTCCCCTTTACATACAACCGAGGTACAGTGGTACAACAATGGCGGCAACACCCACAATGATTGTCTTCGGTTAAGACGGTCGAAAACAAGCACGAATAAGGTGACCTAAAGGCGACTCACGCAACAGCAAACCCCGTTCTATCTGTCTGCCTGCCGGCACACCATCTCCCCCCCCGTCATATCACGCGGAATGTTCCAAGAACTTGAACGATGACCACGGTGGTTCGGTGTATCCAAAGTTCCACTCAGACTGGTACTGCTTAAGTGTCAAAGGCAAGAATTAAATCCTGTCTCGCGTGACGTACCCTCGAGCCCACCACCACCACGACCACTAGCAACGCCGTTATTCGTTGCCGCCAACCTCCACGAGTTTTTCTCGGAATTCGCCCACCCCGGTGTTGAGCATCACACTTGCCCCGCTACCATGGGGCCAAAGCTACCACAAAAATCCCTCCCGTTCAAACGGATGTACCCCCACCCCCAACGTGGGCGAGAAGTATGTCACCTCATTAATGCTGCTGTGGCTGGTTTTCTTACCTGCCATCGCCATTCCTCAGTTCCGTCTGAGTCGAACTTTATCGCAATGAAATCTCCCAACCCTTCGGAGGCGACCCCGTTGAGTGTGCCGTTAAAAAACCCTGCGAACACCACGCCACCGTCGTCCGTCGCAGCGGCGTCGGACAAGGCATCTTCGTCCGTGGTTCCTTCCTTGGAACCCCAGCGGCGAAAAACGTAAATTAGAGAAGCCTACATACATTTGCGGCAGGAGTGCGAGCGTGCTCCGCCCTTCTCACAGCAACAACAGCGCTTGGGAGCTTCCCCCAAGAGCAGTAGGTTTTGCGGTCGGGTATCACAGGGCAGTAGCGGTACACCAGAAATCTAGGAAGCTGTGGATGCGACAAGGGGAGGACACTTTGTCCAAGCAACGCCGGAGTGGTCGCAGTGTCGACGTGTGACGGCGGTAGAGGCGTACGGAAAATGGGGTCCAGCTTCACATGACGGGACTACGTAAGAGAACGGCTAGTACGTAGAGGCCGAGGGAAGCAGGGTGGGTTAGACGTCCCGGCTTTTAGTGGAGCACAGACAGGAGCGCTCACCCGCCTCTCATACTCGCACTCTCTTTTGCTTTCAGAGGAATAACCCTTGCATACGGGGTCAAACCCGCTGGTTTTGCAATGCATTTTTAACAGTATCCATAATTCTGCAAGACAAGCGGGTTAAGAGACCAGGTGTTTGTTTCCTGGAAATCGGAAAGCAGCAACCCGATTTTTCGATTCCCGGTAGCTTACGAATTGGCCTTAAAGAGAGATTTTTCTATGCCTTGATCGGTTCCCCACAGCACACGGCACCTGCACAAAAAAACAGCAGCGTGACAAGCAGCCACCCAGCCGGTGTGAAAGAACCTGCGTGTGGATGCACTGGCTGACGCTGTTCCAACAGGCCGCCGCGTGCGTTCAGACGAAACCAACGTACCTGCCAGGACCACAGGACAGCCCCATCGCTGTCCAACTTGCCCGCGGCCATGTCTGCACCTCCCGCGTTCAAGGTTATGCCGTCCAAGCTCCCTTCCGTCTTCCCCGCAAGGAAGAACGACCCCTCGGCATCCGCGGATACTCCGTACACGTAATCATCGCTAGCAGACGTCCCGGTCTGACAGGAAACAATTTCAGACCGGCGGTGCGGGCGGTTCCTTGTGCTTAGACACCGACCTCTACGCTCAAAGCTCGCTAAATCAAGCCAAAACTACTTGTGGTAGACGGGGATTACTGACTAGGGAACCCAACCTTGCACAAGATGCTCGAGAAGCGAAGCGAAGGAGGTCCGCGCATCACCACCGCGTAGCAAAGTAGCGAGATAACCCACAACAACAAATTTCGTACAACACAGCAGCAGCCAGTCCGACGTACGGCAGATATCAGTCACCAATCGGAGACCGTGCGTGGCACAACGGGCTGTTTCCGTCCTACCGCAAGAACAGCGGTTGGTCGTGCTTGATAGACGAGTTATTTCTTGGGCAAATAGTCTAACTCTGTTTTGACATTACATGTGGTTTTGTCCCATCTATTCTGGACGCCAGTTTGACGTACCAGGGTCAGAAAATGAGTACCGTATGTCTTGTGATGACTCCGCCGTAAGATGCCCCCTTAACGCAAAAGCTGCACATGCAACAAGTTCGAGAACGCTCCGGGGATATACTGTTATGCCCACCTACGTTCGAGAACAACCCGGACTTTGTTCGCCTGATATTGCCCGGGTTGCCCCCGGGCGCTCCCGAGACAACCCAACTCACGCTTTCCGCAACTCGTTGCTGTCGTTGCTGTTGGTGGTGGCGTCGCTGTCGCTATTTCGTATTCTTGTTTCCTTTCCACCAGCTTCATGTGAAATCGAGCACCGCCTCCCCCGCCTTTAGCGCTACTATCGCAGGTGTGCCGATGCCCAACGCCAAAGAGTTGTATGGTACCGTTAGACTCACAACGCGTCAAGTGACACTAACTACTTGCGCTTGCCTATATACATGTTGTCTTTCAAGGAATTGATTTTGCAATAATATATTGCATTCATGGCGAACGAAAAACGAAGAGCACACCACAGCAGTATAAATAAGCGACGAGGGTGGTCAATTGCTTTCAGTTAGCCCCCCCGTACTCAAGAACAGGTTGTAGCGTAGGCTTCTTGAAGGAGCACTTGTTGTTACGGCCAAGCCCAAAAAAATAACATCCTTCGTATTATTTGCCTGAATTTCTTAAGTCATAACCGCCGGGTTCTCAAGTGAGTGCGGGTGCAAACTGAATGCGACACGACTCGCTCCGTTCAAAATGTTCAGAGACCCAGCCTCGCAGGTTCCAGCGAGAGAGGACCACGGCAAAATTTGCGTCTGTCTGTGTGCGTGCGTCCAGGGGAGGCCCGGCCAACATCAACCACTACATACTTCAAGTCCATTTTTCTTTGTTCATCACTTAAAATCAACACTCACACCAAGCGTGCACGTGATGAAAATATTAAGACGCATTGCCGTTTGTACGTACGGGTCGGCTGTTGGTGCCTACTATAGCAGTGTTAGACCTCGTTTTGGTATTTCGACCCCCCTTTTCCCCTCACTCTGACGATCGCTTTGTTTCCGTCTGGTTCGTTGTTTCGTCCCTCGAGTCCTTCCGCGTTTCGGCTTCTTTCGCCGTTCGCGTGGTTGAGTTTTCTTCGGCTCTCTGCTGCGGTTTGATTTTTCGGCCCATACTTCGGGTCACGACCTCCTTGTGTTGTCGTTGGCGAAACCTTTGGTTTCTTACCGTTTTGGTACGTCATGGTGCTCTTGCATCTTGAGGGTTTGTTTGTGGTTTGTCAGTGCCTTTGTCGCTTCCTATGGTTTCGACGACCCTAACTACTCAGCGTTTATTGTAGTCGTTCTGTCGGTAAGGTTGGTTTTCGTCGCCCCGACGGTGTTTTTCTTGCGTTCTTATTCCTTTCTTTAGGTTCCGACCTGTTATGGTATTTGTGGCGTTGGCGGCTTTTGCTGCTATGTCTTTGTTTCTCTGTGTTCGTAGCCCCCGTATTTTCCTTTCTCTAACTTGTTCTTTGTTGGGTCGAGCGATGGTCTTGCGAATCATCGTGTGAGAGGTGTGGGAGGGTGCATTTTGGTATTCCACATCCTTGATCCTTTCATTTTAGGATTCGACAATTATTTGTCAAGTTCCGAGATGTCAAGTATCTGCGTATGAGAACCTCCAGGGTGGGCTAATGTTATGGGATTTGAGTTGAAGTAGCAAGTATCAACGGTTTTGTGGAGTAACTCCCTGAGGAAAAGTGCGAGAGATGCAACTCCCGATTGAAGAATAAAACAGGGGACAGGACCTTTGTGGCCCCTTTCAGAGGGAACGTGTGCACCTCGTCTGTCTGTGCCCAGTCTTCCTTCGAGAGCAAGGCAACAGCAAGCACTGCTGTTCCAAGAGATTAATAAACAAGTGAGGCCTTCAGGGATCGCTACTGCTGTACGGGTGTAATCCCACAACATGATGTAGCCAGCATCAACGGTATTGGTTTGCGATTTTCGGGGGTTGTTCACGGAGTAGAACCGCTCCGAGGAGGGTTTTATTTCATTTTTCAAGTTCCACGGAGCGGAGCGGAGCGTTTTTTATTTGACAATACCACGGAGCGGTGCGGAGCGGTTTATCCGAGGGAAAAAATATCACGGAGCGGAGCGGTTTATCCGTACATATGTCAATTTTTTCACCGAGTGGTTTTGTTTACTCCGTGGCACAAACCGCGCGAAACCGCGGCCTTGAGGACGGTGCACCGTCGCAAAAAAACGTCGAAACCGCAGGAGTATCCGTACTAAGGAGTACCGGCAATTTCGTGAAAAACATTGGGTTTGGTACACCGAAAGCCGACCTTTTCGCACGGCGTGGGGTTCTTGGAGGCCGCCGGTGACACCGTACGCGTCCTTGCCGCCAGGACAGCCCAAACACACCAATAAGCTGTCGATTAATTAATTAATCAATTATTCAAAAAGGAGCCGTTCCCCACATCGATGCCTCCTCGACTCATCTTTGTTTGTGGTACTTGGATAATGAGTCCGATCTGTGCGTCCTCTGTGGGGGATAAGCGTATGGGAGTATGTATGTGATGGGTATGTATGCGGTTGGGGCCCGAGCACGCCCCCCCCGGGAGAGCACATGCCGGTGTGCTCCGGTCACTCGCCTGAGGGGTGAGCGCTCCATGTTGTAGGTAATTGGTGTGTGTGTTATTATTACTAGCATCGACCGCGCTAACCGGCTGACCAATGAAAAGACGCCAGTCTTAGCGCAGTTGAACACACAAAACACTCCTAAAGGCCATTAACTGGGACCCCGTTAAGGGGCGGCACGGGGGAGATTAATCTATTCTCCGGATGAAAGACAGAACCGGTAGCAACAGAAGAACACTGCACACCACGGTGTGCGTGTGTGTGACCCGCTTGCCTGTGGGGCTTTGCACGCGTGATATAGTACAACAGTCCTTTTCATCATCTACATTTCCTGGGATAACTTGTAGTACCCAGTCTCAACACCAACCGGTGCTGAAGGCGGTAGCGCCACGAACACTGAAGGCGGTAGGGCCACGAACAACTCATACGCGTTCCTGCAACACGTCCAGAGGGCAGATGATTCCTCACTTGCCTCTCGTTGAAATTTGCCAGTACTACGTAGCACGTTCGTGACACCAGGCGTCTCATGTATTCAATCAACCAAATACGCCCCTATTTTACTCAGACTCAGTCAGATTCGACCTCGACAACCACTTGCTCTCCCGCACGAGCGGCTTGGACAGATGCAGGAAGGAGCTTTTGCCTTTCCAATAGACGGCGCTGCAAGCAGCTTCCTCAACTCGTTGTCCAAAATACCGTGACTGGCAAAAACTTGATTCCGTGGGAAAACCGTGACTCCATTGATTGCGGTTTTATCCACGGTTGTGTGGCGGAGTATAGCTTAAACCGCTCCATGAAAAAAACGTTTGTTGTACGGATTTTAGGGAATCCTCACGGAGCGGAGCGGGGGCGGTTTATCCGAGGGCAAAATTCTCACGGAGCGGCGCGGTTTTTTTGTTCATGTCAAGGAGCGGAGCGGTTCAAACCGCTCCGTTCCGTGGGAAAAAACGCTCCGTTGAGGATTCTTCGATATTTCACCTTTATTTACGGAAGAGAAAATATTTGAGGTGGTGGTGGGGCAAGCAACCAACGCGTATGTAGCATCATATGTATGTGGTATGCACGTATGTACAGTAGTGGTCCCGATATAGTGGCATGTAGGGGCAAGAGAAAATCATGCCACTATTCAGGGCAATGCCACTATTCGATATAGCAATAATACTCAAAAGTGGCATTATTGCCACTGTTGTTGAAAAGGACAAGCTTCGATGCTTACGCTACGGACATTTGTTAGTTGGATCTTCACTCGTAGGCGTTGTATATGTATCTAGGGTCCCTTCTTTGTTGTGTGCACCGGTATCTGCGTGAAAAAGGATGTGTCTGCCCACCACGTGTGCATTGACACTTGATCGTCCTGGTGACAACGAGGCCTTCGGCGGTCGCAACCTACCTTTGTGTGCAGGCGAACTACAGAAACAAAGTATCATTAATTTGTGTTTGTCCGGCGATCCATGATGGGGTTCCACACAACAATCAAAACACACATGTTGAAAAATCAGATCAATGTATGCAAAACCAACTGCAGCAACCATGTTGAAAACGCCGAACACTCTCCACTTCGACGCATCAATCCCAACCGAAACAATAATTTACACCAACAGGCGTCAACCAACCAATCAATGCCACTACATTTGACTGGGTATAACGGCTCTGATGTCCAACTGCCGTGCCGGTCTAGCGGCATATGCTGCGAAGAATGCCATGTTTGCCTTACGGAGGAAATGCCCGGCCTCGCTCGCCAATTCCATACAACTCCGCGTACTCTTCTAGAGGATAAAAAAGCGCAGACAGTTCCGCGGACGACGGCGGCGCCTTCATCCCTCCATCCCCCTCACTCTCAGAATCT